GATCAGTACTCTATCGTCATACACCGTGAATATCCACATTGAGTTGTTTACACGAGTGTTCCGCACCCCTACTTTCCCTAGCTTGTGGTTGTGCACTTGTTACAATTTTGACAATTTGAACTTGTCGAATTTACTGACTCATTGGCGAGGGGCATTGACACAACTAGAGGGGGTGCTGAGGAAGTGCGGACGTTTTTAAAACTATGAAAGCTCCCTCGGAATTTCAGTAAAAATTATAAACCTTACTTGGGGGACGTGTCTGTTTGGTCGCTGACATTATTTTAGAGTCTGAACGAGTTAAGAAGGATTTGACCTTTCTCAGCACCCCCTCTAGTTGCGCCAATGGCGAGGGGGCGTTTGGAATCGTAGAAGAAGAGTGACGAAAATAGCCGACTTTGGCATGTCCCAGAGACGTTTACAGGCAAGCGCTAAAAGCATTTGCACACTTGTCCCAAATCGTTTGTTTGTCGTTTAGTTCCAATAGCAGAACAATAGTAACAATATATATATATGTTTTGTATGGCAAAACAAAATGTGCGATTCATTCTATTATAGGTACATTTTTATAGGTACACAGATCGTTTCTAAACTGACAGATAGCTATTATCCGTTCCAATACAGAACATGGTGTAGACACACTACAGTTAATCAGTTAGCTTTGAAAATATTTTCTTAAACCTTGGTATGAATTGGAGCGTAGCCCCCAACTAGAGCGAAACTCTAGTTTTTATAAAAAAAAAAAACCCCTGGAATTTGGTATTCTATTGCATTTTAGGTATAATCCAACACAAATTACGTGATGTGTTTATTCTAATTATTTAATCATTTATACGATTATTTTTCCCGTTTACTCGATTATATTACTCGTTTTGAACGACACTAACAACACATAGTTCACGTTGAAACCTTTGTCGGTTTTTATATATACCTGTAGTTCATAATCGGTATTGGGATTTAAATTAGTATATTTTACCGCGGGTTCCTCTGTTTCTTTTACTATTTGTGTTGCATCCGATAAATTCTGTAATATTCAAATCATATGTATTATTGTAATACTGGTTTAGTACTTTTGCAATACTAAATGTGTAATTGAATTTACAACGTCTTACCTTTAGTATTACGTGGAAACCCGTTACAAAACCGTTGAGTTTATTACATTTTTCTTTATCCACATACCACTTTATCAAAGCAGTTTGATTGTTCACATATCTTGGCTAACGTCTAGAACTGGGGCTAAATTAGGTGCTGTAATGTAAAACAAAAACAAAAATCATTTATTTATTAATTTGACACTCGATCGAATCTACATTATGAACATTATTATTACTCGATGTGGTTGTGTGTACGAAAATTACATTTTCGCTTTCGCCGTATGTGTAACCAGTTGTGATCGGTTCTACTTTTATGACGTACTGAGTATTGGGTATTAAATCCAATGTACATTCAGTTGTATTTTCAACAATAATGTTGGTCCAATTACTATTGACGGTTTGCCGAGAACAGCTATAGTGCCGATTAATCTGAAAATCCATAATTTGGGTAAAATATTCAAAGGAAAACGATTTAAAAAACATACAACGATTAAAGATATAAAAGTATCGAATAAAAACTCGTATACTAACTATACTAACTAATAGAAAAATAGATTTATAAGTTATGTAACTAGAAGAACTTAATAGTCGTTAATCATGTATTCATAAATAATTAGTCGATGCAATTAAATTTGCTTTAGGTATATGTAATGTTAAATATTGTCTATCTATTGTCCCTAAATAATAAAAATTGATTTTTCCTTAAAATTTAAAAAAAAACCGTATGTTATAAGACCCGAAAATATATTCAATTTTTCAATTTTTGGTAAATAAAAATAATTAATTTCTAATTTTAGGTACAGTTAACTCTACAGAAAATAGTCTAAATTATCCTAATTAAATTTGTACGAATAATAGGTTCTACGGTTAATAGTGAACGTAGGTAAAAACAAAAAATTAATTTTAGAAATTAGTGTACAGCAATTTTTCAAAAACGGTAGAAATCTATTTCGTACACGTTTATGAATTTAGGTAAAAAAAAAAAACCAAAAATAATAATTAATTAATCTATTGCATACGTAGAAATTAAAAATTTGTTGAATTGAGAAACATAATAAAAGTTTAAAATGAGTTTTAAACTCAGCAGCAAGTTTTATTATATTATTTTTTATAATAATTAGTCTAGTATTATTTATTTGGTACTGTTTTTACCACAATTACTTGAAACATCTTGAAAAATATTCATGACTATCCTAATCCTTATATTACCATAAGTATTTAAATAAAACTGTAGGTAGTTACAGAATAATAAATTTGCCTGTGTTTTAACATGGATATGTTATTGGGCTGGATACAATATATTTCATGTCTCATGTTCGCGTTATCCATGTTTAAAATGTATATTTGTAAAATGATAATTTTACTATAACTCACTCTAACATTGAAATTATTTGTAGTATAATGTATCAATTTGGAAAAAAAGTATCATTATTACTTACAAGTAGTATAATCACTGTCAAACATTATTGTTAAGTCAATATTTTGCTTAAAATTGTATTTTTAGTATTAAAGTGGATAAAATAATGTGGTCGACTAACTGTAATCAACAAATCTTAATAAATTCCAAAGGTACAAAATAGTATTCTCAATGCAGAATACATACTTAATGTATGGTCACGAGACCTTCCGCAGTTTCACTATCAACCGCTACAAGTTCATCATTTTTTTAGGAGTTGGGTATAGGCAATTTATTTGCAAAATATCTTAATTTAAAGATTTAACTGTAATAATTATTTATTAACACAAATATACATTTTGACACTTGTTGTTTTTTACACAAACTTCACTTAAATAAAGCTATTAGTAAGAATATAGATAGTCATGATGTCTAGGTCATCTCTAGGTCTACTCTGATGGGTATTCTATATGTGTAAATATATGTATACATATATTATGTCAAATGAATAATTAATGTTTAATTGTTTTTGAGTTACCAACTATAATTTTTTTAAACGATAAAATGTAATAACAACAATAATAATAATAATTTATGTAATTGTCAGCGTTGGGCGGGCGTCAACTACTAATCTTAAATGTGTCCGTATTGGAATATTGTGTTATCTTAATTTCTTATTTTTTTAAATTTTGCTACATTTTGCTTTTAGGCGAGAGACTACAATATAGTTAAACACTCAAGACTATACACAATAATAATATTATGTTATTATCTGAAAAAAATGCTACTACTATTCGCCCCATTGACCATTCGATAGAATACAATTCTGTTAGTCAATAATAATCCGGTCAGGCATAATAATATTATATTGTTTTACTATATTAAAAATAATAATTGTATTATACACATTTACATTCGGTCCATCTTCAAACTACTTCTGTATCAAACAATGAGTAAGTAAACGGACAAAAATACATAATATTAGTATTATTTTTCAGATAAATCACAACGAACCTAACCTAACATAAACGCATTTCGTTGATACCCGATTTTAATAAATATACAGCTGGCTTTATTTTTTCATGGAAATTACCAAAAATATATTTATTATTTTAATTTCCCAACGCATTTGCATAATTTCAACTAAAATCAAACAATTTGTTTGTTGATTTCACTTGGACCTTGGACATGTAAATATTTAGATAAATCTCAATATGCAAATATTTAAATGATATACCTATGCTTTTTTCAAGATTTTTGCAAAATCTTAATTTTAAAGTTAAACTGTGATTAGGACTATTTTTTGGCAGTTAATTTATTTTTCACAGCAGTCTTGACAGTGGTTTAAAAAATAAAATCATCTAAACATGGCAAAAGCATATTCTTATCGCTCATATCCATTATTCTTTATCGAATAAATAATTATAATAGTTTTTTTTTACATACTTAAAATATACTGAGAAGTCTGTCTAGGTTCTCTCGTCGGTTTTTCCTATACTTTTAACTCAACGTTCACAATTTATATATTTTAATTCTGACATTTTTTAAAACTTTTTTTAAGTGCTTCTGATTAAGGTAAAATTTAAGTTTGTAAACACGTTTTTACGATTATTCTAATAGGGTAGACGTCCTCTTAAACATTGGATAGAGCTTTTCAATTTGAAAATGGAATTTTTTAAACCAGTTGAATATTGATCGAACGAGGTTAGTATTAACTAAAGAAAACAAATATATATACAGTAAACGAGACATTTTCAATGACGTCTCGAATCTTAACAGGTAAACTTTCTTTTAATTTGAAAAAAATCCATGTTTTCTGCAGACCAATGAATGACAAAACCGCAACATAATGAAAATACATTTCCCATACCTGTTCGCATTCATAGCAACCTTAAAAAATGTACTACGGTCAAAGAGTAATAATTTTTTTTTTTTGGTATTTCCTTAATAAAAAAAAATTGTATAATTTACAGTCCAAGTATTCAAATTCGATAGTTTTAAACAGATGCATAGTACAAATTTTCAATGCTCATCTGTTATCATTCATCAGAGAAGGGGGGGGGATTAGTTCTCATCAAAATTTACATTTTACTCTTTGTAAACCTAAAAATGTTTTTTTATAAAATTAAAATAGGAATCGAATAACTGTTGTCTCATTGATCTTCTAGAAAAAGATAACGCAATGAATTTATAGATGGTGAAAAAGAAAAAACTACTCGACACCTTTGGCCAAAAATAGGTGTTAATATTTTAGACGTAAGATAACTTGGGCGTTTTTTAAATAATTATTTATTTAAAAACAAATTCAAAATACAATTTTTTTTATCCAAAATACCTCCTCAGCTCCGCATTGAAGTTAAAAAAAATAATAATTACAAATGTATTTTTATATGACCAAATTTGAATAAAAATATATTTAAATAACTTTCATTTTCATTTTTTTTACACCATAATTTAAATAAAAAATATGATCTAAATATTATCATTTTTCCTTTTCGATATAGTTATTATTATACATATTTTTTCAATTTAAGAGCGATATGTATACTTAATACTTAGGACAGACTCTCTCCCGAAATTTTCAAATGCAATATTTGTAATTTTTGCTTTGTATTATTATTATTATTATTACTAACTAAACAAAACATATACAATATCAATTATGGTTACTAATAAAATAAAACAAATGTAACAGAACCATCAGTTGTATTACAGATCTATCAGTCGAGAAATCAATCCAGTCGCGTAGTCGTAAACTTGCGGTCACATTCTGGCCGTTTACCCACATAACCGCTATAGAAATCGTATCCAAACATGATTTTACTTCCGGAAATTTTGACCTGTCCGACTGATATATATCCTCCTTTGCCGCCACACTTAACCAAAAGTATACGTTTCCGTTTGTCGTACACTATTGCGCCCGGCGTTGACTGGTCGCTCACATTCGGCAAATTGTTCCGATTGACTTTGACCTGAAACAGTCTGACGTGCGTTCCATGCCACGTCGTCAGCAATGGCCATAACCCGTCAAGGGCTCGATATTTGTTGTACAATAATTTTGAATCTGATGTCTCCCAATCAACAACGGCCATTGATTTTTCTACTTTGGGCGCTAGACGCACAACACAAAATACTTCAAGTTAAAATAATATAATGGGAGTTGTATACCATTTGTTTTCTAAATGAAAAAATCAATCCAGTAGTCAAAAAGTTGTTGCGAGACAAGTCGAAGGTAACAACTTTTGTTTAAAAAAAAAATTTACTAGTGTATGAATTTACCGTAAGTGATGCCGGATTCAGGTTGTGGCATTGCCGTTCTTAAATTTCGGGTCAGTTCTTTAAAAGTGTCCACCAACAAACGGCCACCCATTTCGGCTAGTTTTTCTTTAAGCTGTTTGGCTGTTTCATGTTGGCCGACACTGCAGCTATGTTGTCTTACTATTTCGCCAATGTCGAATCTAACAAACATTAAACAAGTATAAAGCTACGATACAGACAGAGCGTCGTACCACTATTCGTATTACTTGTGAGGATGAATTTTCATTACTGTGACGCCGGACATTAAATCACCGTTTAGGATCGTGTAAACGATAGGTGCGGCTCCTCGCCACCTCGGTAAAAGACTGGCGTGCACGTTAATCATACCCCTGTAATAAAAACATTACTTTTAAGCGGCTAAAACGAACTACACGACTGTTAACAATATCTTGAGCATTAACTGGTAATGGAAACGTTACCAAATCAATTACAATTACTGTTTTAAGTAAAACAATTGCAATTATATAAACTTATAGTGTTTGTTTATAAACAGTACATTGATAAAACTTACAACGGAAACGATTTGATTATTTCTTCAGGTATTAATCGTCCAAACGAAACGACCACACCAATGTCATAATTTCCTTCTATTTGCGCTTTGCTAATGGGCCATTCAAAGGTAAGTAGTCTTTCTTCTTTAGCCAAACTATGCACTACATTTCCTTTAGAAGTTGTTACTACGTCGAGTCGAGAGATTATAGTCTGAGTACGCCTAGGCAAAAAATAAATGTATGTATAACCTGACAAAGGTTCTAAGATTTACAAAATAATGAAAAACATGCATACATTTTCGATGTCAGCGTTAGAAGGTTCTTAACAGAAAAATCGTCATTGCCGAAAAATAAAATTCGCCACGGAGGACTCGACGAGTTACATTTGCCTCGTAACGAAACGGTCGAATGAAATAGAGACGGCTTCTTGAACGCTCTACAAACGCTCTTTTGAATTTTATAACTTACAAGTTTCAAACTTAACATGGTAATGAAAACGTTAATGTTCTACATAGCTAAATAATACAGCGATTCTTGAAAATATTATACAAACTACTCATCGTAATTTCATTGTATCACAAAAGTATTACATATTCAACGTGTAGGTACATTATTCGTTAATAATTTAAAAATTGAGACCATTAGTAATTAATAACATTTTGAAATTTGAGAACGTTCGATTCGAATTTCAATTTTTGAAGGTACGGTGTGAGATAACAGTGCTACTGATAACAACACTAATGATAACAGTATTATCTACCGTGAAAAAAGTGATAAGAAATCTGCCGGATCAAATTTACTATTTAGAAATCTTATGATTAAGTTGGATAAGTTCATCGATTTGGTTTAGCATTAAGTAATTACTTTTTAACTACCTATAGCTCGGGTTATAATTTTCACAGTATACATTATAAAACCTATACTTAATTCATAAATTATTCCTACAACCTATTTACTTACTTTCTTGACCATGTAACATTAAACAATTGAAGATGTATCGACGAATATACTATTTTTCACCCGCATGATAATTAAATAACTTCTACCACAGATTAAATACACATAGATAAACCAAGACATGTAATTTTTGGGTAGATGGAACTAAATCATTAAGTTCAATATACATAGAAAATATATTTTCAGCTTTTTGAAAAGGCAGGAATTCAAACTGTATCCCCTCGAAGAGTTGTTTTAAGCATTTTAAAATCCAAGTCATAGATACATATTATGTTTAAAAAAACTGTTTTGTTCGATTTTTGTGTAAGCCAACAGACGACCTAAAAAGAAGTATTTGTTCATAATTTTTTAACTCGCAGAAAAAATTATACTTGATGTTTCCTCCACAAAATTGTAAATACCTATGTCCTAAATATTAACATTATAATAATATTATATACTTATATTTTTTATTATTTGAATTTTATATTCGTATAATATCATATTTTACAAAGAATTTAAAAATTCGTTAATGATTTTGTTGAAATACTCACTCACAAAAATGTATGTTGGTAATTAAAAAATATAGTACCTATAGCATAATAATATTTTGAATAAAAAATATACTTGTTAATGATAAAAAAAATATTTATGACGTTTTTGTATTTTATTAAAACGTACAAACCTATAGAGTATAGACCTATAAAGAAATGATTTATGGGTCTATGGTACTAATTAAATCTTTAGATTCATATGCCTTATCTTAGACTAATATCCTCTCTAGTAAATAATAAACATGTTTTTAGCCGTCTAAAATTATTATGTTTTCTTTTAGTATTATAAGAGTTAATGTATATTATGTATTTTTACAACTTTGGAGGCGATTAAAAAATAACTAAACATGCTAAAGAAATTCTCATGCTAGATTGTGACAGAAAGTATCATATAAAAAAATAGGTATTTATGATTTACCATGTCTTAATTTTTTTAACTTTTTTCTAACTGAATTATTGTTTTTTGCTTAACTAAAAAAATTTTAAAAACAGAATTTAAGGTCGTAACACAATTCACTGGAGAACAGTCAAGACTATTTTGGCCAAAAATAAAGTTTTAATCGTTATTTGGATTTAGAAAAAAAATCAGATTACTAAGTGAAAACCCGATAAAGTCTTTAAAACAAATATTCTTGAAAAACTGATTAATAATAACTGTTCAGAGTTATCGCAGACTTTTTTAGGGATAAAAATAATCAAATTTACACAGCAAAAAATTGATTGTCTTGTATTTATGAAACTTTAATAATTAAATTAAGTTTATTTGAATTGTAGCCATTTTGGTGGTAAACAATGACCCATCGGTGAAACAACAATTGTTTTTTTTTTTTGTTTGGAAGAAGAAAATTATTTACATTTTGTATTGTTTTCAACCACAATAATATATTTTTATGGTGTATTCATCCATGATTTTAACTTGGTCAATAGTTTAGCGTGTTGACCAAAAGCGTTACAATAATTAATATAATAATATTATACTTAAGTCGGACCAACGGTTAATGATTGAAAAAATTGATCAAGCCATAAACATAACCTAAAAAGAGAGTATTCAATATAATATTGTATTGACAATTTTGCGTGAAATCGGCTTGTTTTATTATGATAAGTGCTATAAATAGTGTAGTTAAACCATAACTGTTAACATGATTAAATATCGTTGACGGTTTCTTTATTATTTTTCTGTTCAGTTTTATTCAATCCTTTTTGTATCGTGTATTCAAAAATGATAATCGTGTCGATAGGTTTTTGAATTGTTGTTTTGTTCAGCCAAAAAAAAACAAACGATAATTATTTCATTATGGAATTATCTTTGGACGACCCTTGCCAGTTGTTCTTTCCGGGAGAAGTCGTAATGGGAGTTTTACGTTTACACAACATCGATGAATTGATCGGTAAGTCAACGTAGAAGTTGAAGTTTAAAATGAAAACTGAAATGTGTATAAGATTCGTTAAAAAAAAAACCCGTGACTTTCAACCTGTCTTTAATAATGTTTAATAATTGTTAATAATTATTATTCATCGACCTTAGGCATGCCGCCCATCGTCAGAGTTAACGGATACACTATCGTGTGGAAAACCAATTCCAAGTGCGATACCGAAGAGTATTGTTCATTTTTCGAAGACCAAGCGGTTATGAACAAAATTTTGCCTGAAAACAACAACTCGACGACATCATTGAACCTACCAACAGAAAGTATGGTTTGTTTCTAATTTAATGACATTAAAATACCGTATATTTAATGGCTACGTATACACTCCAGTCTATTCCAGTACGTACAAGTTCCATTTCGTCTTACCCGATAATCTACCGCCGTCCTACGAAGTCCAGTTTGGCCACACGAGATATAAAATTTCGGCGAATTTCAACAGCAATACTGCTTTTACGTATTTTAGTGTCGGCCAATGGGTGGGGTTGAAGAAACGTGCTAACTCAGTCGTAGGTGTACTGTTCATGATTAATTGCCTACCGTTAAATTTGTCTCTTCTTTTATTTTCTTTAATAAGAACTTGTTTTGTGTTGAATTTTTAGGATAGAAAAACGAGTTTTATTCCGTCGTTGTGTATCTGTTGGTGTCCCGTTGTTAAAGCATCGTTCCATCTAGAGCAAACTCAATATTTGCCCGGAGAGACTGTCTATTTAGACGCTGTTATCAAAAACAATTCTTGGGACGACATTATATATTCTAAAGCGTTCATCGTTCAAGTAAGTCAATTGAAAATTTTGCTGAAAATATTAGTTTTTTTTTTTTTTTTTTTAATGTCTCTATAATTTCAGAATACGAAATATGTAAAAACCCATCATATTATACCGATTAAGTATAAGAGAACCGTTGTGGAAGAAACGAGAGGGCTCATATCCAGTGGTCATAATCAAGTTTGGTCTCGGCAACCGTTGTACATACCTCCGGTGATTCCGACCACAAAAAAGTGTAACAATCCGTTTAACTTTTTCGATGTAGAATATAAACTGAAGGTAATTTACGATAGTGATGAAATGTCGGTTTCAGTCAAAAGCATAATACAATAATTTAAAACTAAGTTTTTTATTATTTTTTTTTTTCAAGATTCACATTGTTATGAAGAGTTCTAAAGAAAAAACTTTGTTCTCACAAAGATTGTTGATCGGCAATTGGGACGACAGCATGAGCTGTACAAAACTGAACGATCATAAAAAAAAACCAATCCAGCTTCTTCGTAAGCGTTTTTTTTAGCTTATATTGAAACTTTGGACTTTTTCCCCCAAAAAATTGGCCAATTTTTCAATTAGGAAGTTACAAAATTAAATAACTTTAGGTATTCACATTGATACCACTCAGAACAAAGGTATTAGTCATGTTGTATTCCTTAATGAAATCTAATGAAAATACATATACTTCTTGTTAAGATTTTACTCTTCTAATCCTAAAATGGTTGCTCCCGTTTTGTTACAAAAAATCGTGCAAATTAATTAATGGACTAGTAGTGTAAAATAAAATTGTATAAGTGCTCTTATAAAATTAATCTCTAATTTTTATATTTAAATACATTTTATAAGCTTTTAAACCAAGACATTACATAAGTCCTTAAAACACTAATTTTATGACAATTGCTTGATTATTTCTCAAGCTTTGAATACACTATGATTTTTCAGGACTACTTCACTGGTTGAAACACTAAGTTTTTACATCTTCATAAGTACCTACTATATTTTATATTACAAGATGAACAATAATAAGATAATAATTAAACGAATTGTTATGTTTCAGAATTTTCCACCGATGATTGTCAGATGAGCAAATTACAAAACAACGACTTCAAACCCAAATACGTGGTTTATCAGACTAATTGAAAGTTTTGAACGTTTAACTCGCTAAATGTTTATTATGGAAGTATTTTTTTTTTGTTATTATTTTATATTGAGATGTTTTTTTTTTTTTTTTACTATTCGTTACTTTATAATAGATAAATGTTAATTTATTCAAAAAGAGAAAATATACAAAATCGCAAATTGTTTTCTATAATATCATTTATTTTTTTCTTTCATATTTCCATTTGTAAATGGGCGCAGAATCTTTGGTCGCGGGTTGTATCCTTTTGGGTGCTTCGTTTTTCTTGGATCTAATCAAATGGGTTTTGATCTCTAGTTTTCTCTGCACGACCGTTAGTTCTTTTTCCCTGGTTTTGCGTCGTTCTAGTTCGCGGTAGGCTTTACGTTTTTCGGAGACGACTTGCTTAATTGTTTCCTCGTCAATGTCGGGCAATTCTATTGTTTCCAAATCCGACATCCGTAAGCGATTCGTCTTCCTGTCGACCAGTGCCGGATGAGTATTCAATTTGTTGGCCAGACTGGTGGAGCTGTGCGCTTCGTCGTCTTCAAAAAACATATGTGTATTTTTTGTTTGATTCGCTTGATCGAGAAAGTGCAATTCCGACTGCAAGCGTTCCACTTTTTTTCTCTCCATGGTAGCTCGCATATTAATATACTTCAAATCTTTTGTTTGCATCAGTTTTATTTGGTCTTCGGTATGTTCGTCTTCTTCGCGTATTTCCGTGTGGCGGCCATCTTCTACCTTGGATTTGACCATGTGGAAATAAAACTCATCCGGGTTGCGGTTTTGTGCACGTTTCTTCAACAACTTCATCACGCGCTCGCGTTCCTGATGGTGTCTGGCGCGCACTTTGTAGTCCTTTTTCTTCTCCAACAAACCATATTTCTCACGTAGTTCGGGTTGGTGACGTTCACGATGAGTTTTCTGATTAACTTTCGACGCTTTCTTCCAAGACGACATTGTGACACCTGTAATTTTAATAAATCTATAAACATTTGCCAGGAATTGAAGACTTTTACATATTATTCAACAAAATTATCGAAAACAATTCTGTTGGAATTAAAACAATAAAATTCTGCTCGTTTCAATCCAATGTAAATGACATTAAAAAATAATAATTCGACAGTTTTGGATTTTAAACACCAGAAGCTTTTAGTCATATAATCTTAACTTACAAATAAAGAATAAAGTATAATTACACTCATTGTAGTTAACTGTAAAGCAAGCAAACGTCAGCAGCAATATTGTGTACTTATTTCTATATATTATTATAAATTAGTATACCTAATCGTAGTATTATGTGTAATCACAAAACGGAATATTGTTTCGCAGCAAAAACAAAATAAATCTACTTGTCTTATCCCATCAAGTAAACGGAAAGTAATATAACGTAGTGAACTTCAAGAAAACGTTATTTTAAGTCTCTGAATTTCTGAAAATACCGTTTCGCAATAGAAACAAAAGAACGTAACCAGTTTTCATTCCCTGCTTAAAGCAATAAAATTCACATACAAAATACTTAGATTTTGACTACTTACGGTTGTTTTTTGACGAAAAATCACTAATCCGGTACCTTTGACGTGTGCTTTTGGACTTTTTTAGGGCTTTTGACTTGAATTAAACATAATACAACATTAACTATTATAGTTATTATTGCTGTGATGGGCAGTGGTGTGCTGTTATCACTGTTATCAGTCATCATACAAAATAACGATTTGAATCAAATGATATGTTTGGTAGCACGTGGTTTTGACTTGTGATAAACGGGTAACAACTGATAAGGAGTTCAAACTCTTTAGATTTTGTCTTTTTCCAGCGGTTACCACTAAATAACAATTGAGATGACACATGACAGATGCCTTTAAACAATCTGTATAATCTGTATATTATTGTCTGTTTACAAAAAATAGGGTTTTAAATATAAAAAAAATAAAATAGCCAACACAATAAGGTCTTCAGGAATTAACTTCATAAATTATAACTGAGTGATTTAAATCTCATTTAAATAAATTGTAGAGATGGAAAAAACAATAAGAATATAAATTATTTCATTGACAATAAACGTGTTGCGACTTGTGTGAGTGTTGATTTTCGGGTTTCTTCGATAACAATTTTTTATTTGTACGACCCGACGAATCGGCCTAATTTGTGTGTGGAAAGGTGTACTTAATAAGATTTGTTTGGGAGGTGTTCGACTAAACATAATATTATCTGTAGGTGCTACATACATCTAAAGAACGCCCAATTGAAATTCCGAAGTAATTTGACGGGTTTTCAAAAGTAATTTACAACTCGACGTGTTTTAACGTCAAACAAAATGTTGAAAATGTTTTTTTTTTTGGGGGGGGGGAAGATTTTAGAAAGGGAGGGTTAGAAAATTGTTTAACTTTTAGTACTCGGTCTCTGTGATCTAGCATAAAAAAAAAAAAGAGATCAAAACAATCTACCAGGTGATCGAATAAACATTGGACGTTTTTCAATACTGCAAAACAACCAACTTGAATATTTTCAAAACGAAAAAATCACCAAGTCTTTTATTTTTTATTTTTATTACCAGGTATTTATTTTGGTTTTCTAGTACTCCATATTAACCGCATACGGTGACCATATATACCGTGAACATAAATCACATATGTACAGTGTATAATATTATGCGGATACTGGATAATAAAACTTTAGGTTTTTACGCGTTTTACCGGTCGTCCTGTATACAACACGACGGAAATGATTCATCGACAAAAACAGTGTAAATATCGTCAAAATATAATATTTGGGTAAACATCGAATGCGCCTACACTTTGAAATTTTTTGTAGAAAATATTATCGTTTTTGGTTTCGCGTTTCTTCTTGTTTATTTTTTTTAACAAACACCACCGCAAGGTTTTGTTTTTCGAGTACAACTTTTTGTTTACTCACTCCGGATTTTACAGCTATAAGTCACACAAGTCACACGAGTCTAAACTTTATAACGCAACCGTTTTATGTATACACCCGAAAAAAACAACGACCGCGACGGATTCAAGGTAAAAAAAACACACTTGGAAAAAATAAAAAAAATAAATTCTATGGCTATTATATAGCTGCATCTATGCCAATCTCGTATATTTTATTTTTTCCAAATTAACGGGGGGGGGGGCTTTATTTAAATAATATAAGTAATCCGGTTTAATTTGCGCGCCATTTTACAAAAAAAAAAAAAAGAAATCCAAATTTAATAAAGGTTTTATAAAATAAAACTCTTCGCTTGTACTTTAGCTTTGACACGGAGCTGAGAATGTATTGTTTTGTTTTTTTTTTTTTTACTATGATATTCTGTTGTGTTCGTTATTTCATTTTTTTTTTAGGGTGTAGTTTAACGACTTAAGGTGCCTTCACCACGAAGGTGGGGGGAGAGAAAAACAAATTGTGAATAAGTAATATAATATTATATGTTATAATATGTTACTCTCTGAAGTAATTTTCAACTTGAAGTAAATAAATATAATAATAAATAATAATTTAATAATTACACAAAATGTACAAAATTAAAATTATTTTCTGAAAGTATTCAGTTTGGAATTTACAATTTTATCAAAGATAATAATAACGAAATGCTATTTTGTATTTTTAAATTAGGGGAAGGTGAGGGGGAATCGCTGCCACCTAAGCGAGAATTAAAATATCTTCGGACCTACAAGTACAGAAATTTCGTTAGTTCTTGAAATCGAACTATCGAGTTTGAATGTACGCCACCGGCCTTCACGATGCTTTATTTAATATTTCGACCGTCTACAGATTCGCATTGATGCGTTTATTTGAAAGTAATTTTATCGTTTCAGTTACGGTAATTCTGGAAAACCTGTGATCTCGCCGATCCGCCTTTTGTTGCTTCGGTCTTAAAAATGTAAGTATAGATATCTATATATGTATGAGCTGTCAAAAAAAAAAAGTGGTGTAAGCAATATTTTCACACAATCTAAAGTAACACCACCAGGCGATAAAAGTGACGTAAGTTCTGCTTTGCTCGATTTCTGCTAAACAGCAAAGAAACTTATAAATTCTCGCAAAAAAACGTAGTTCAATAGTGTATTTTTTGTTCATTGTGCCTTTACATTATTATCATAAAAAAATAAAAAATAAATTACAGATTCTTTTTAATAAGCGAATATATTCTTCAAACTAGGATATCGTTATTATTATTAAAAAAAAAAATTAATAAATGTAGCATTTAAAACGATAGAGCCGTCTGTACAGACTCTTTTTGAAATTAAACATTTTTAATGTAATTAAGTTTTTGAGTTATACAATTTTCTGGTGATATTTCAGAACTAACATAGGTACGTGCTGTCGTATTAAGTATTTTTTATGCTTTTAAAAATAAAAATTGTTTAATATTTGTCTTGCGCTAGAACAACTTGAGTCTTGTTAAGCAGTTTAACATACGATTCAAAAGAACCCCCTTTTTTTTAATCTCATATTAAAAATTTAAATAGTAAACGGTAAAACTAATATTGAATTACTTAAAATACATTTTTGTTTATTACGTTAAATAATTTTTTATTTGAAAACAATATTACGTTGAATAAATTTAGTAATTACACTTTCAAAAAATATATTTTCTGAATACAATTTTAATTTGACCGTTTTACATTAAGTTATTATAAATAAATATTAATTTATTATTTAATCAGTTTGGTTTTTCATTGTAATTAATTTTTCTGTTTTTAAGTTAATAAAAAACCGATATAGTATAAATTAAAAATCTATAATAAAGACTTTTTATTCTTTTATTTCGTACCAAATTGGTTCAAATAAAAATTAAGTTTTAATAATTTTTGTATATTCTTTTATATTCCTTAAATATATTACAGTGTGAGATTAAACATTTCTTAACAATAATAATTATTCTCCTGGCATTTCACCTCCGGGCACCAACTAAAAAAATACAAAAAAAAAAAGTGGTTAATTTAACATAATAATATAATATGTGTTGGTTTAAATATTTACCATCGTTATATTATTTCCGTTCAATAATATTTGATCTAGTTTGGTGACTCGTCTTCCTTCGGGCGTCGACTCGTACTCTGTTACGTCTTCTAGAAGCATGTTGACAAAGTCATCAAATCCCAACAGAGTTCCCACGATTTCTTTGTCATTCTTCATGACTATATGAATTCTGGAACCAATACATTTGTCGACTAGTTCTGAAAATCAACAATACGTCAAATCAAATCATGGTATTTTATGATAAAACAATTAAATCAGGCAGTCATTTAACAAAAAAAAAAAAAAAAATGCTGCATATTAAAAGAATTGGAATGTGGTCCGAGTAAAAATGTTTCCTTTTCTAATAACAAAAAAAAAAAAATCTCAATCAAACTCATCAAGCACAAATACACAACCCAACAGAAGTAGATTAAAAACTTTGAACGTAACAGCGGTGTTGTGTTAACTGAATAGAACAGAATCGGAAGGTCAATGTAATGTTTAAGAGTGATTTTTCAAAAGAGAAATTTTCCTGAATTTATCCTAAATTATGAGTGGACAATCCAAACCAAACAAAAACCTTATCAGTAACTATTTGACTATGCATTTTAGACATTTTAAGATTAACTAAAACAAGTACAATTAAGATGATAACACTAGTCTTTGACTAATGGTTTGTACAGCAAGTTTTTGACAGAATTATAATATAGTACTCAATAAGTATATGTCCTCGTAAAAATATTTATATAACAGACTATTATGACGGTGGCATGTCTTTGTAGCGTATCATATAAGCACTTTTTTTTTTTTAACTTACCAAGAGGAAGTAACGTAGAAGGATTAGTCGCCACGGATGTTGTCATGGTCGGACGATTTGAGAGAATTAAATAAATATTCGACTACTGTAATTCGTAGTAAACTAAAACTTAAAAACTTCCTTAAGTTCAAACCGAACCGGTTAGCTGTTGTCGGCGTAAATCGTTGTCTGTATCAAAAAGTTAAAGGTTTTGTTGTGATAACCAAAACAGTGTAGCCACAAAAGAAAAACGATATTCTCGTCGCTGAGAATATGCATCGAATACGAAATAACTTTTAAATATTATTACAAATCGGTATTGTTTTCGTGAAAAATAAAAAATATGAAATAAATTACGGTTCGATTCGCGGAATAGAATTTCAAAATATTATTTACTTTATTATTAAGACATAGTATGTATTCTTGATTTTCGAATACGAATTCAAAACGATCACGGTGTCTACACTGGACCACGTGCTAAGCGAATAATTGTTGATCTCGTCGAATACAAAAGTAATCAAGTTAATTACATTGCACCGGTTAACAATAGTCAACATCATGTAATTATTATTTTTAAATGTTCACAACGGCAATTGCCATTTGCCGGTACATTTTTATTGTTCAACACATAACGGATTACAGTATTATAATTAAATAAATAAGTTGTCATTTCCCCCCATAAAACCGGTTTCGATAAATACTCTAGAAATTGTTTGCATCTCTAGTGAGTATGATACTGATCTTGTAAAATTTCATAATGTCTGAAAGAAGTAATGAGAAAAAATCGAATCATAATAATTTTTTTTTTTTTTTAATAGCCTTTATTAATAAAAAATATTTGGCTCAATAATTAGATAGTAATAATAAGTAAAATGTTACATTATTAGTAATAATATGATTTTAAGCGACAATATAAAATACGAGAAAACAAAACAAAAAGAAGAAAAACAATCGGAGAGTGCGAAAACTAAATGACATTGATATAAACTTAAAACTTAAATTTAATTGAGAAGCCAGAGCTCTTTAGAAAGGAAAGACTTGCAAAAATGACAGGAGTGGAATGGGTGTTTAATAAATTAACGTTAAAGGGAGGCTGAATGTTAAGAGAGGATAGGAAATTAACCGATAATAATTATTATTTATATTTACTCAATTATAATGTACCTACAATATGATATTGGAAAGATAGCCACACCATTTATTTTTTGGTATTTTTCTCGTTGAATCCTAATCTGTTTTTGTGACATCTTAATTTATTATTATAATTATTATATTTTTTTTGTAAATCGCTTCTGAAGTCGTTAAAACACTTTTTGGCTATTTTAAACAATTGTTATGTGTACTTATAACAAAAAAAAAAAACAACTTAAATTGGCTTTTAATATTAGTTTTTAAAGTTTTTTTTATTTACAAAACTTATAATCAACTCAGAATTATTTTATAAACTTTAGTATTTTTTTAATGATTAATTTTCTAATAAATTTAGTAAAAAAAATTGACTCACAATGCTCGAATACGTATGCTTAGTAGACCTTTTCTAATTAAAAATAACTTCACCAGTTTAAAAATCAAACTTTAAATCTACAAAACTCTGCTTAAACCTATTTGGACTTATGAGTGTTGCTAATGGGTGACTACTTAGCAAGCCTGCATGTCTATTTTGTTCTCTTATTATATAAGATTATTTATGTATAGATTGATTAAATCTAATAATAATAATTAAAAAAACATTTAGTAAAAAAATATTTTAAAATTCATATCATTATTTTTATATGGAAGTTAAGAATTTACTTGTTAACATTATCTTTAGGTCTTTTTTTTTTAAACAAAATTGGCAAAAACATTTAAATATTTTATAATCATTTTTGACCAAAAACCAATTGAAAAATGTATTTATCGACAAAATAAGCAAATTAGACCGACCAAATAAGTTTGATAAAAATACTTTTTTTTTATTATACATAATGAAGTATTGGGAATACTTTTTTTTATTTTTGGCTTCTAAATTTATTATTAAGTCTATTTACTTTTTGTGAATAGAGTATTAACATATTTTTTTTTTTTCAGAATCTCTTTTACAACTTCAAAGGGTAACTTAAAGGAACGCAAATCGACCGCCTTGCACATTGCCACAATGCCCAAATCACTCACAGACATGTCTAATGAAGAGTCTATCGGATATGATTTCATAAATATAGTCGGCGTGAGATGGCACGTTAGAATAGCATACTTTAATTCGTTAAAAGACTTTTACGTTCACAAATTGAACGATCTTAAAGTCCTCCAAAACATCAAGGCGGAGGTTCAGTCAATCAAGAGTGAACTATTGAAATTTGAATGTGTACACATCGGAGATCTAGTGGCGGCCCAATACAATGATGACGGTGTTTGGTATCGAGCCAAGGTGATAAGTATTCAAGAAACTGATTGTAGGGTACAATTTGTTGACTACGGTAATACCGAAACAACGTCGAACATCAAAAGACTCCCGGACGAACTGGTGAAGGTATTGCCATTGGCTCACCCGTGCGTTCTCGACAACATCGATTCTGAAGAACAAGTATTGCTAAATAATTATGGCATGGCTGAAGTAATTGCCGATTTTATGTCGTACAACGATATGATTTTAGAATTCCTCAACAACTCGAAACCTCATATAATAAAAATGACTTGGGACGGTCGCAATATAAAAGAAATATTGAACAACATGATTGCGTTCGGCATTACTCGACAGATATATGAAAAACTGAAAACATTTGATCAACTTGGATCAAAACAGCCTGTAACGATTATAAATATTCAGTCAATTGGCGAGTTTTACGTGCAAACGGAAGTTGATAAAAACCTTAAGAGCCAGGTTGATGATGAACTCAACGGCAACACAACATGGCATCCCGTAGTCGACGTCAAAGTGGGAAAAGAGGCCGTAGCCAAAAGTGTAGAAGACAATAGTTGGTACAGGATAAGAGTGTTGGAAGTGCACGATGACGTATTGTGCACGTGCTATTTCGTCGATTACGGAACCCAAGGAATGTGTTCGGACTTCTACGAAGCCCAGGGTATTGTGGAGTCAACGCCACCGACCATCAAACGGTGTATGCTAAATATGACTGACGACCATAAACGTTTTTTCGGTGAAAGTTTGATGAAAAGTTTTGTGGACGAGATGAAAATGTGCCAAGAACAAAGCATAACCATGTCGATAGTGAAAGCGGGCGAACCGTGTGTGGTGGACATCGAAGTAGACGGTGTCCACCTTGCGGATATTTTAAAACCTCTTGCCGTAGTCGTCACTCAAATTACGCACGTCAACGCACTAACCGTACAGTTGGTCACAGCCGGCAGACGTGGGATTTTGAACCAGCTTAACAAAGTGAAGTCGTTAAATTTGGTGAAATCGCCGAAGGTGGGCAAGTTGTATGCAGCTTACATAAACGCATCTTGGGTGCGCGTAAAATTGGAAAAGATAGGCCAGAAAAAGATGATGGTCGCCACTCTGGTCGATTTTGCCGGCGAGATGGCGGAAGTCGATCAGTTGTTCTCACTGCCGGAACACATTGCGAACGCGAAAACAATGATGCTGCATTGTTCGCTCGGTTTGGACGAGCTGTTATACAGTACCATAAAATTGAGATCGTTGTGCAACAACGGCACGACGGAATTCACAATGATCATTACTGCGCACAATGTGCAAAGCGGTCACACGGTCGATCTTTACAAGGACAACGTAAATGTGTCAGGTATGATAAGACGAACATTAAGTAAGTCTTCCAATTGTTAAGTTTTGATAAGTTATATAAGTTATTATTTATTTATAATGTAGTTTAAGCTCTAATTTATTCACAAGATGTTCCAATTTGACCAGTTTATTGATTTACAAGTGAAGACATCGGATTAGATGTGTTCTGTAAATTTATAGTGATATTCTGTATTATTATGTATTACAAGAAGCAATGTGTATTTTATTTTATTTTTATTTCAAAAAGAATATGTAATATTGTAACCAATATATCTTTTTTTGTTTTGTTTTACTTTAAGCGCTTAATATATTTGTTATAATAATATGGATGTTCATTCAGTAGACACCTATTTTATTTAGAATCATATACTTTGTCTTTAATGTCGTTAAATGAGATTTTTAACAATGTTTCGTTGTCATTAAACATATTGAAAAGTTACCGAATAAAAATTTGTTTAATCAATGTGTCTGTGCATTTTAATTCCAAACAAAAAATGTAGTTTAGAAAAAAAAAACTATTAATTGTCATTTGCAAATAATTTTTTTTAAAGATTTTAATGTTTTATATTAAATTTATCTATTTTGTTGAACGAAATAATTTATTCTGGGAATAATTCAACTTATTAATCTTGGAATAAATTTTTTTTAGATAACCTAACTTATTAAAGGAGACTTGATTGTGTATTGTTAAAATTTAATTTGAAAACACATTTGTTTAGCATTTTTCCTAGGGAGAAAAAAGGATACGTAACACATTTAAAAAATATAATTAATTTATTGTGTGGGGTTATAATCCATTTCTTTAGATTAGATATAGAATTTTGCATTTTACTAAACGTTGTAGCGCAATAAAGTTATCGAATAAATTGCATAATATGTTAGTATTAGATAAAAAAACAAGTTTTTGACAGAAAAATAACCCATAATTAATATGGCCCGACTTCGTTATTAAGGGGAAAACGATAGGCAACAACTGTCAAAAATTGATCTGAAAGACATTTTAAATACGCCAACTAATTTGAAATAAAAAAACAAATATTAGGTTTTATTAGTTAAAATTATTTTCCTGAGTTATGGCATTTCTACTGGATTTTATTTTCATGAGAAGCTTAATACTTTTTCTAAAGGACAAATTTCGATTTTGTAGAAAAAATATAAAAACAAATACTTATTATACAATTTAAAAACAACAATAAGAAATCAGTATTATGTGAATTAGAATTTTTTTAAGGATTTTGAATTATAGTAGCCGTTTATACTTATATCTAGAACATCTAAAGTTATACCTATATTATACGGTAGTCATATATATAATAATAAAAACGAATAACTGGCTAAAAAAACCTATAAAGCATAACGGTCGGTCGGTCGGTGTAACTATGTTTAATTATGGTTACTATTGTAATTTTTTCATTTTGTTTCCATTGTATTAAATAATTTTTTTTGTGATTCTTATCTTGTATAAGAAATAGCAAGTAGCTGGTAATTTTATTTCCACAGGAACGTCATCCATTCTGGGAGTAAGTAGTGTGCAAACAGTCCCCTACCTGTTTGGAGATTACTTGACAAAAAAAAGGAACGTCAGCCACCATTGAAAACACATTGCCATTTCGACGAGTCTTTAACAGGAGCCGAGAAGGTATACCTATTGTTTTTACAATAATGTGTTTTTCTTTTTTTGTGCCTGGAGTCTGGACTCACGGTGCCTCCTAAATCCCTAAACCCACGCAATCGTGTAGCATCAGAAATCGTTCCTGAAAGGCACTTTTAAAAGTTCACCCCTTCCCTTTCAAAATGGATAGAAACGCCTAACAAATGTACACAAATTGTTTTATCTAAAAATCACAACACTAGAATATAAATTCAACAGCCCACTTGACCCCACTTTGCCAACTCGCTGTATTGGCACCTGCTGGTATATATTATCTGTTTTGAATTTATCAAGTCAATGTTTTTAATGAACACATAGCAATAGGTACTTGCTTCCTATTATAGTCGAGATATTTAAAATAATATTTTTGATAATTCTAGCCCAAGCCTAAGCGGAATCATTGATTACCATTACTGCTATATCTGTTTGACGGTAAACCGGTCCATCGATCGACAAAACAGTTTACAATATATTGCCAAAACCCTAACAATAAGTAAAAGTTATTATTACTCTCACAAAATTATTTTTTTTTTTTTAGATTTATTCGTATGAAGAAAAATTATTGTTTACACGTGAGCCATGACAGTTGCTGTGTAAGTAAATATGTACAATACAAATGGACAAGTACCTAACCAGTATTATAGTGAAGTATTAATAATTTAAAATAACCTATATAAGGGTCCGAAATTAACTGCTGTCGACCTGTGAAAAATAAGTTGATTGGCGGTGTCAATTTCCACCGAACAGTTAACTTCGGACCCTACGTTGCTTGATTTGGTAAAAAAAAACTGTTTTCTAAAAACTATTATAATATCGGCGGCCCTTATTAAAATATACGTTTTTTTAAAATTCATTTAAACTAGTATTAATTATTGTCCATTGATAATAATCGCCCCTCCTCCTGTACCCACCAAGTCAAGTACCGCGTGGATTAGGTCTGTTTACGACGATGCCATCATTTCAATTACACACTGGTAGCCAATTCAATTTACAAATGCATAGGTCCACAAATCTCAAATATACCTACACGCGCCTAAACTATACTTACTAACTAAACTACTTACAATAACAGCTATAACGCGCTGGTTATCGGTAGGCACAACACGACCGCGGTGTACTATTGCAAAAAAAAAAAAAACGAAAAACAAGTCAATACGTTTTGAATTTGACGTTTAATAATAATGTTTTTTAGTATTTTAATTTTGTACAAAACAAATATTTCCACATTTCATGCCAGCGTATAAGGGTTATAGCTCGCAGGAGTCCCGGCTAAGTTTTGGGCGTGATTGAGCCGAAAGGTTCTCATGTTAACGTCTAGGGTAGCGGTAGGTAACTGCATAAAACCTTCGACTTGACCATGTATACTTGGCTCGGCTGGCTTCCGGGTTATAGAACCAAACTATGCCGGTGCGCAGGCTCGGGACTGAGGGATCGAATATCCAGGCCCCGATTGTAGAAATCTTTCGGAGGTAGGAAACGAGCCTGGAATGGAATTTGGAGTGTTCCGTACGAACAAGTTGTCTCTGTTGTCAAACGAGTCGTTTATAGTTCTGCTTAGAATTTTTTGGAACAGTACACGTTTTTATACGATTCGCAAAATTAAAACGCTTTTATTTCATCTTTTAATTGTTAAAAAAAAAAAAAAAAAAAAAAACCAACAATATTTTAACATCATTAAAACGACCTAAATTCAAGACCTCATTTCCGCCACAGAAGACACCTCGAACACATATTTTCCAATGGCTTTTTTTTTTGGTGTAATGCAATTTGAAACATCATCGTAGACGGAGATACCACGTCCAAAAAAAAAAAAACGAGCCAAATACTCTACCTCATGGTGGTTTGGAAACGAGTATGAATACCCTGATTGTAGACATATTATATTGTTATGTTGTGCTCAAGCTGACTACATATGTTTAAGTTAAACGTTTAATGGTTTTCAAGAAGACCGCGTTTTGAAAGATAATAATTGAAATTTTGTGGTTACTATTGAAAAATATAATTACTACTACTATATAAACAACAAATTAGGTTTCCATGCCAATTATATTATCCAACGACTATTGTGTGAATCGGCAAGAGAAAAAAAACCAGTACAGTGGGGTCGGTGCATAGTGGGGACGGAGCATAGTTGGGTCGGGGCATAGTGGTGACGGGGAGGTCACAGGTTTACAGGAATTTTTAAATCTGAAAGTGATAAAATCACTTTCGAAAAAACGCTTCGATGCAAATCGGTAGTTAGTATTTTCAAGCCAGTACAGTCCAAACCAAGCACAGTATAAACCAGCAAAGTTAGAAAGTTTTAAATGAAGATTCTGTATTTACAAATGAGCATCAAAGCGTTAATTTGAAAGTGATTTTATCCGAGAGGACTAGTACAGTAGAGTATTGGCATAATGTAATCAAAGCAATGAGGAAACGGAGAGGTCACAGGTCTACAAGAATTATTATAAATAAAAGTGATAAAATTGAATAAAATCGCTTTCAAATAAACGCTTTGATGCTCATTTGTAAATACAGAATCTTCATTTAAAACTTTCTAACTTTGCTGGTTTATACTGTGCTTGGTTTGGACTGTACTGGCTTGAAAATACTAACTACCGATTTGCATCGAAGCGTTTTTTCGAAAGTGATTTTATCACTTTCAGATTTAAAAATTCCTGTAAACCTGTGACCTCCCCGTCACCACTATGCCCCGACCCAACTATGCTCCGTCCCCACTATGCACCGACCCCACTGTACTGGTTTTTTTTTTTTTGCAAAAACTTAGTGGACCAAATAACACATATACAATGTCTTGTTATATTTTGTTGGAATGGTCGACGATTCATGTTCCAATCGTTTGTACTCCATAGTTTAAATTATAATCGCTTATTCTCAATAAAATTAATATTTATGTATTATATACTTCCATTAAAGCAATCTCACACAAACTATTTATACTTCACAGATTATATTATTTCAAAGCTATATTATACTTCTATTTTACTAGATTGAAAATGTACAAAATAAAATGCAACTAAAAAAAACCTTTTCATAGATCCTTAAAATGTAAAAGGTGGGATAGTGAAACGGGTTTTACCATTTAAATACATTAGAAAATCGCCGTTTTACTGCCTCATCCTGTATAATAATTTCTTGTTATTTTCTAAAGAAAAATCGATTTTCTTACATTTAAATTAAAATAAATCGTATACTGGTACTGTGATGGAGAAAACAATAAATTTTACCTACATTTATTACTTATTAGTTAAATATTACTAACATGTATAGCCACTAGCAGTCGGCTGTTGCCTGTTATTTAACAATAACCTTTTATGGAGATTTTAAAAATTGTGTTTTTTTAATAATAGCATAGGAGCAGTATCATGATGTTAAATGTTCACGAGATTTGATCTAGTCATAAAATAAAGTATTATCATTTATGACTTAATTATTATTAAAATTTATCTTAATAGTAATAGTACATAGTAATAAAATAATGAAATATTTTTTACAAAATTAGAGCTACAAGTTGATAAACTAAAAAAATAAAATTAGCACGAAGCAGATTATCTAATATTAGACAATTTAAACAATCAAGCGTGAATCTCTTTAAATGAATAACAGTATAACAATATACAAAACATAAGTTTTCCTTTAAAAAAATTGTGTAATAAAAAAAACATTTTGAGGCGGTATACTGCATAAAAACCAACACTTAATCTGAATCCAAAAAACAACAGTCCTCTTCATTATTTGCAGGTAGTTGGACATTAAATACTCATAGTTAACCTTCGGTAAGGTTATATAACGCAGGCTATAAAATAACGAGATAACGACAGTGGTTTTGTCGTATCAGAATCATTAAGTGTCTTAATAAGTACACGGACAGGTTTTTTTCCCAATAAATCGAGTGTCTACTATAATCAGTTACACCATTTAGTCGTCTGTGGTATTATGTAATAAACACAATATTATGATACCAATCATTGGGCCCTAACCTAATCTAACACGGATAGACGTTACCGACTGATAGTTTTTAGTGTCTGTTCGTTTCTCCCATCTGGTACACCGGGTTTTTAGTTTTAATTATTTTTCCGTTTAATATGTTATGGATACATATGAGTTCCAACTACTGGCAAATTTTCAACCCAAAGGTCTTAAAATTACGGCTAAGAACCCCGAAAAACAAAAAACCTTGTACCCTTCTAGGGGGGTGGGCATTGGGTTAAATTTAAATTTGATACAACTGACGTGCGCGGGCAAACGAAATAAATATTCCTAATAAATTTCAACTCGGTCCGACTCTTATTCTCGAAATTATAGCCAGTAAAAGTTTTAACTTAAAAACTCGTAGGGTTTTTTTTTTGTTTTTCAAATTTTTACTGTGAACAAGTAAACTTTTTTAACTTTTACCCCCCCCCCCCCCCCCCCAAAGTACCAACTAGATGAAATTTGCGATTTATAGAGTTGCTATTCAAAGGAATTGGTCCTGTATTAAAAAAGTTACAGCGTATACAGATAAAAAAAAAACACACATCAGAGTAAAACCAATACCTTCTCGCTTTGCATCGAAGCTAAAATAATAAAGAGCTCACACGATATGGATACTTCACTATGTTCCTAACACAAATTTAGTTGGAACATTATAATTCGATTTTGTCTTTTAAATTTAGTTTTTGTTCTTTAAATGTCTTGCTTTTTTGTTTTAATTGCCGGACTCTTTTGGTTTTAATTTTAATTCATTTTAAATTCAATTTGATTTGCTATTAACAATTACCTATTAGGTAAAAACTCGAGTAAAAGTTTGTACATATTACAATAGTATATTTTAGTCATCACCAACAAATACTTTTCTTATTATACACAAATGCAAAATTATATTGAACAAGTTACAACTTCAATTTGAAAAGTTTCTTGTAGCTAAATTTGATTATTTTTTTTTGGCTGGAGATAATTGTCCTGATATGTGTCGTTTAATAGGCATACACAGAAGTATTGAATGTCCAGAAACATTTAACACAGTAAACAGTTAACAGTTACCATATAGTTACCATAGTTACCATAATTACCATAGTTATTAAACCACACAAAAATATTATAATAAAAATATGGACAAAATTAAAATCATAAAGCTATAGTTTATTGTTAAAAAGACAGAAACATATAGGTGCACATGTTTGTACATAAATGAAGGATTACTCTATTACATTGAAATATCGCTATTTTGCTGTGTACCAATTTGAACAAACTAATTATTAGCGCTAATAGTTATCTATGCACATCTAAAATGCACTCGGATTGACTCCTCGTCCAGAAGAAGAAGACCCCTCGTCCTCTTCTGTTACTTCTTCTGGTATTCCACTGTCCCACTCTATGTATCCCCGCACAGGGTCTTTGACAAATGTCTTAAACAATTTTTGAATGTGGTCAAATTGATCTCGATACTTCTCCTCTATGTTAATAATGTCATGCACGTTTGAGTCGGGTCGCTTTATTAACTTGGGAGTAGTTACTTAGAAGTATTTTAGTAGTGGTATTTTGTCGAAAAACAAACAAGGATGTATTGGTCAAAATATTTGCGTTAAATATTTTGACCAATACATCCTTGTTTGTTTTTCGACTGATATTTGCGAGGAGTTTCCGATGGTAAACGACCAGTCAATAACCGTACAAAGTTTTCAACAGTAACCTATGAAAAAAAAACAAAAACCTTTATGAATTAGTTCTATGATTCGATAACATAAAATGTGTGTAATGTTCAAACCTCATAGCCTCTGAAATCAACTTCAACATCGTCGCCATAAACATTAAGTTGTTGGTCTGCGTTATTGTAAACGGTCGCTGGACTTGGATTACGCGGATTACAAGCCATATCGTCGGCCACCATTAATATGATCTGGCTAAAATTGAATATTCATCTGGTAAAACATTTATAATAAAAATTATAATATTGGAAAATATTGTACCTGTCTGGAATTCCAAGGCGTTTAACACTTATATAGAAGTGTTAGAAGTGTATAGATAACACATTGGCTACGTGTCGATAATTAAACCAAAATCTAGATGTGTCCACAAGCACAGCCCAGTTATTCGAATGATTTGCCTAATGAAAAATAAATAAAAATATCTGGGTGTGACTGTACGAGCTGGTACGAGTACAAAATGTAAAAAAATATTAATAATTACCTGAGAAACATTAACCAACAACGAGGAGACAATAACACAAACTTCATTATGAATGTACAAAAACTAGACGGGCACTTTGGTCTTTTAATCCTTCAAACTTAACGCATTTTATAATTGTTTATAATTATTTACCAATTTTGTACTTTGTTCTCATCAAAGCCGAATACAAAATAATAACAAATTCGCTGTTATCACTATTCTGTTATCAGTAATAACTTATCACATGGTAATTCCAAGTGGGGGCAAAACATAAGTTATCAAAAAACCCAAACAAGGTAAAAATAATGCTATCGATTTTTATTTTTTCATTTCTATTAGGTATAACTTTTAAAATTAATAAAAATTAAACATAAGATGTGACTATTACAATTTGAAAAATTTGATTATTTACCTAACTCAATTCCTCGACTTTACAGGAGGCACAAAAAAAACTGATAATATATTTCGTTAAGAAATCTAATTAGGCGGTTTCGGGTTTTCCATATAGCTACCATATAGTTACCATAGTTATTAAACCACACAAAAATATACCTAATAAAAATATGGATAAAATTAAAATCATAAAGTTATAATTTATTGTTAAAGAAACAGGTTAACACATAGGTACACATGTTTGTACATAAATGAAGGATTACTCTAAAAAAAATGTCATTAATCTAATAAAATGTCTTAACATTTTATTAGATTGACATTATTTTTTTCATTGAAATATCGCTATTTTGCTGTGTACTAATTTAAACAAATTAATTATTAACGCTAATAGTTAGATAAGACAATGATTTTAGCTAATGATGCTAAAATCATTGTCTTATCTATGCACATCTATTGAATTGACTCATCGACTAGAAGAAGACCCCTCGTCTTCTGTTACTTCTTCTGGTATTCCACTGTCCCATTCTATGTATCCCCGCACAGGGTCTTTGACAAATGTCTTAAACAATTTTTGAATGTGGTCAAATTGATCTCGATACTTCTCCTCTATGTTTTTAATGTCATGCACGTTTGAGTCGGGTTGCTTTGTTAACTTGGTAGTAGTTATAACGCAAATATTATGACCAGTACATCCTTGTTTGTTTTTCGACTGATATTTTTTATGCTTGATTAACCCGATCAACATACATTTTATTCTTTCGTGATTTTCGCACATTCGCTGGTTTTCTGAAAACCATACAACATATTATTGTAATCGAAAAGAAAAAAAAAATCCTTAAATCCTATAAATTGACGACGAGAAATAATTATGACAAAATTTAACACTTGCATTGTTCTGATCAATTTAAATGTAGCGTTGAATATTATTAGAAAAAAGGCTTACTCAATTTTTCATTGATAATCGACAGGTATGCTAAATTTAAAATATGTCTTCTGTTCCTTACTGCTGTGTCATATGTTCCTCTACCTATAAATAACATTGTCTTTGATTTAATTTTTACCTTTAACGTTATATACTACTATCAAATTATATTATAGACAAGAATTTTCAGATTTTTCAATCGACCATTATAAATATAGTTACAATATAGATGTATTCGGATAGTAAAAATTAGAAAATATACCAATATGTTATAGAGTATACTTACTAGTAAAATCATCAGGTCTCTGGATATCTGAAGTAAAAAAATAATAATTTTAAAACTAAGCATTTAATAAATGTATATAAAAAATATTAATATGTATCTTATTTAAGTAAATTGATATAGTCATATTTTATGTAAAAATCCATTTAAGCATTTATGGCCTGTACAGTCTTGACTACTGTTTTTCTTTTAGATACAATATTAAAAAGTTACTTATGATTTTTAGTAATTCCCCTTGAAAGGATCGTTCTTTTTTGCATATTTCGGAATATATCAAAGCTATAATCAAAAAATTATATTCTCATTAAAATGTTTTATTACATGTAAAATTTCTCGGCCTTACTATGTATTATTACTACAAATTAATTTGTTTAGCTAAAATAAGTAAAACTCTTTTGTGCTATAACAATGACCGGCCACCGATAACCAGTTTTCAATTAAAAAATGTTTTTTGTCAGTTTATAGCGTTCAAAATTTAATTGTTACAAGTCACAAGTCTTATATGAGCTATTTAAACGTTAATAACTCAACAAGTATTTAATTATTATACAACAAAACCAAATATGTGTATAGGATGCTATCTGATTATTTTAAATTTACACATTTTACTTGTCCCTTAAAAATCAACGATAATATAATATTTTTATCTTAATTATTAAAAATAAAAAATAAATGATCATTTCAATGATAACATTTTAGTTGAAACTATTTTAAGTTAAAACATTTATTTATTTTAAAAAATTTTCACAATTATGATAATTTAAAAGTCTAACTATACTAAATATATTTGTTTTTTGTATAAGCCAAGTAAACTAATTGTTAACTAAACCGTTAAAAGAATTAATATCGAAAAAAAATTTATCAATTAAATGTCATTTAGTTATTATTTAAAAAATTACCGTTATCATCCACATGACACAAAAAGTCTTTATCTAAAAAAGATATTGTGTTAAAAGAGGTGTTTATTCAAGCCACTTTATCAAAATATTTTTAAATACATCTTTTATTGTAGCAAATGTCGCTTTGATAAAAATTTACCAGTTTACCATTTTATTTGGAAAACCGATAAATTTAAAAGAAAAACAATTTACATAAAATGTAAAACTAACCTCAACTTAATGGGGGAAAAAACGATAACACCTAATGGTATAAAACATATTATAGTTTACCTGGCGGGTTAAGGAATTTCCCAACGTCCTCTGAAATAAAATAGAAACAATATATATATATATATATATATATTGTTTATATATATATATATATATATATATAAAGCCAGTATATTTATATGTAAGATAACAGAAACCGAGTAACTGTTATCGGTTTTATTTTATAGTACAACGAATATAATTGGTAACCAATAGAAAATTAACACCTAACATATTCTAAAGACGGTCTTACTAAAAAATAACAATATACAAAATATAATAATACCATATTTGTATTCGTCTACGACCATTACTACCAGGTCGTATTTTTGTTCTGAAATCAAAAATAAACTATTAATAATTTCGTTAAAAAAATAGCTTCAGTGTACTTGAATTACTGGTTTATAATAATAATTGTCCAGATCTAAAAACTTAAAAGACTTGCCTCAAGACATTTTATACACAGACATATCATGTTAAATGATGTCAATTTATTACACCACTTATAAGGTAAATAGTTGAAATACCTGGAAATACTAAGCTGAAGATATTCAGTTGGAATATATTCATATTTCCAAACTACACCAATTAAGTACTTGTCAAAAAACAATGTTTTTAATTAATTAATATTAAAAAACGTTTTTTTTATGCATACATTTACCTCATATTAGGTTAGATTACTACTACTTGTAATTGATAATCGTTGTCACATTTCTAACGTAAAAGGCCTAGACATAGTTACCATGATAACCGGTAAATTGATAAGGTAAATAATAGCTGTGCCAATTATTTTAAAAAATTTTTATGATGCCTGTATTTTTTGTAAAATAATTTTTAATTTATTTGGTTTAAGTATTATATACTAATAATTTATTATACAAACACTCACGAATATTTAATCTGGAAATCAAATAGTCTAAAAACAAAACGAATTTTACACAATTAACACATAAAAAAAAAAACAAAATACATTGAGGTCTAAGCTAACATAGTGTAAGATACTGTGAGACATAATGAAATCTCTTTCAAAAACTCTTAAATACACAAAACATTTAAGAGTACAAAGGGGGGGACTTTAAAAAAAATATATTGTTAGGTTTTTTAGAATTTTTGGACAAAAATCGATTAGTGTTTCAAAATGGGACACCCTGTATAATGACATAATTAAACAGACAATTGCAACGTTACAAACTGTCCAAATGGTTTAAAAAAAAAAATAATTCACTCACTGTTAAGGAAAATCTCTTCGGTGCATTCTGGAATAATTGTAATATCATAAGTTTGTAAAATATAAAATTAACACAAGAAATATTAATATTATAACTATAGAGTATGGACAAACGTAGTAATAAATACGATGAGTTAAATTACTTAGAAATGTAAAATATGTAATAATTGCTTGTACAAACTATAATATAATATTATCGTAGAATTGTTCGTTAAATGAATAAAAATGAAAAATTATTCAAAAACAGTCGTTGAAATATGTTTACCTTCTTTTTTTGTTATGCATTTTATCTCGTTTATAACAGTGCAAATAGTTAACACAATCAGACAAAACACTTGTAGCTTGTTGTTAGTCATTTTTTGTTTGTTTTAGTGTAAATCTAAAAAAATAAACAAATTCAATCGATATACGTTTGGTTACATTTATTTTAAACGTATATTTTCAAAAATTTGCAGCAAATATACTTCTTGGAATATTCTATAGAACCTTAATTGATAGACAATCACATAAAAAACAACAATAGTGTCTTCCCGTTTGGGTCAGGAAGCAGGAAGCAAAAAAAGGGGGAACAAAAGTAGTGTATTTGTTTATAAGCTAATTATCTTTTCAGGGAACAGAGAAGGGCACAGAGAAAAAAACAGGCAAGTCACTTTTGAAAAAATTGCGATTTTATTGTTATAAAATTCGTTTCGATACAAAACGAATGTGTTTTTTTATTTTTAAAAATGATTATAAACAAAAGTTTTAAATATTTTTTAAACATTTGTTAGCATTAGGGGAAGGGTGTACAAAGTGGCCGTAGCTGGTCAAGTGGCCGTGTCGTATATTTCTGTTATTAGAGTTATCAGCTATTCAGTTCTTTTTCCATATGTTTTTTATTATCATTATCATTGATTGATAAATCATAAATGATAAGATACGCTGTCGATGAGTGATAACAGAAACCCCATTTTGCGCCCGGCTGATGTAAAGTAGGCAAGAGTTACGTTTAAAAAATGTTATTAATTATTTTAGCCACTTGTTATATGATGACCACGTCATCGATGTAGGTACATTTATAAAAATAAAAACGGGCAGTGCTTCCGACGACTCGAGACTGATTACTAAACAATTAAATTAACGTAATGCTTAGTTGCAAAATGTAAAACAATATAAAAGACAGTTAAATTCAATGATATTCCGACTTAACCGTAACCACATGTCATCAGTGAAGAGTACACGGTTGTCGCTGTCCGTCTACAAGGCTTAAGTTCGAGAGTTCGTTCATTTAACACCTACTAGTCTATATTACTATATACTAGTAGTCTATAACTATTTTTCATTTCCTTTCGAGTTATTTTAAGTAGATTATCGTTTTATTATTATTATAAAACGAATTTTGCAATGTTGACTACAAATACGTCTTGTCATAATAATAATTATTATTTACATGTTTTGTAGAAAAAGATTTCTGCTTGTTTATTTATTTGTGTATGATTTTTTGATTGAATTAATTAAAAGATTTGATGACAAATATTATGGTTTGATTCAGTTAAAATAGATTAGTTACTTTAGGAAATAGTATAACAATATTTTCAAGTTAAAAATAAAAATCTCCTACTGTTGGGCAAAGTGGATATAGCATGGCCAATTTACCCCATGTGGATGTGCAAAGTGGCCAGTTTTATATTAATTAAAAAAAAAAAAAATCACTATCTAAAATATAATTAGAATTTCAAATAATGATGTCTAACAAGTCAAAGTATACATTCCCATAGTAAGTAAAAAAATAAAAAATCTAAGTTTCAGTCGATAAATTTCTTTAAGGTGGCCGCTTTACCCACCTTTCCCCTACTTAAACATGTTTTTCTTAGATTAAGACCCTTTCGGTCCCAGGTTATTTTTTCCCAGATTCAACTAGTCCTAAATAATATGTTTAATAAGTTTTAGATCTGAAAACTTACTTTTGACCACGTTATAAGCGACTTAAGTCAATTACTTCTACGCGAGTAGGTCAGGTAGTATAGATGTAAATTATTAATTATAGTAATAAATCACATTTCACTTTTGTTTACAATAAAATATGATGTAGGATATGAATTAAAACTAATTATAACAATAACTAATTATAACAAAGAAAATAAATCATTATAATATTATCAGTCTTAAATTTCCCTTTTTTTTTTTTTACTAAATTCAGTAATAAATCACATTTAATGAATAAATTATTAAATTAATTAAAACTTTTACTTTAAAATGTAAAAACTTCAAATAACTATAAAATGCTTTCCTTTTGTTGAATTCTATACATTTTTTTAATGAATCTTAGTATATAAGGGTCATTTTTATGAATACCTTAGGTCCCTAAATTAAAAATTGAATTTGTTTAAAGCTGACCTTTCCTGTTTTTTTCCCTGTACCCTTCACATTATGTAGGCCTTGTATGAAGTAGGAGTTGAAATATTATGTCTAATATTTTTTTTTTATAGCTTAAGCCTTAACTATTCATAGTACCTGTTTTCTCGTTGTGTTGTTGAGTTCGTATACGTTATCGAAATGAACAAAGAAGAAAATGTATCGGTGCTATATCACTTTTTGTACCATCTGTATAAACATGACGTAGAACGTGAGCTGTTTATGCTTTGAACGAATAAATAACTTTAAGCACAGTAAAAAATACTTTGCATATTATCACTGGGACATTTTCCGAAAAAGTTTGAGTACAGAAAAATTGAGTAACAATAAAAAAAACCAGCACGGTGGTGTCGAAGAAAAAGGTACTATATTAGGCCAAAAATTAAAAAAAAAAGTTACCCTTACCACCTTACTACCTTCTATGGAAAAGGGTTTATGATATTTTTTCGGTTTGTTACCGTTTATCGGTAGTTCTATGTTTCAAGAATATTTCATACAAATTTTGAAACTAATTTTAATAATTATAAAATATGAACAATTAGGACAATTTAGTAGAAAAATATTGTGTACAAAATAGTATAATTCGCTATAATTATTGGAACATCAGATGATTCTACGGCCAAGCAAGAAAATAGTTTAAATATTTAAACACCAAAGACAAAACAAAATACGGAAAAACACTTGTCTCGACAATAACAATAGTGCTTCGGAGATCGTAAACATTTTTTTTTTTGACAGCTATGCTATGGCCCATATATTATATAATAAACAAATAAATACTAACGAACAAAATAAAGCTGAAAAAATATTATAAATCTTCTAAACTAAGCGCTAATAAGAAAAAAAAAACAAAATGTATTTTTATAATTCACACCTATAATATTTTTGCTCAACTATTTCAGACCCGAATTACGGATCCGATGAAAAAATCAATTGTATCCATTTAAATACTATTCAAACTAAGAGATTTAGAAATTGTTTAACATTTTTCTCAATCCAGTCCTGACACAATGTGACACATGTGTCATTGTAATGGCAAATGGGCGTTTCGGGTATAACTGGTATTATTTAGTATATTATTATATAAACTGGAAGTTCTTAAAATTAAAAATAACAAATCATTACCGTTATAGAGTCAGGTTAGAGATTTAGGCATACCAATTATTACACTTGAAATTAGCATACATATGTATATATACAGGAAAAACGTTTGTATTGAGTAAATTAGTTTTTTTTTACTATAAGTACAATATCCTTGCCTTTATGTATTTGCCTCTAATTCGATTTACATTAAGTCGCATTTTTCAAGTGTATTAATTAGAAAAAAAAAACAAAGAATTATCATTATAGGTAGAACGGTAAAATACCTCATCTGACGTTTGTTAGATCTTTTTGGAACTCCTTGGTTTAAATCATAAACAATTTAAATGTTGTAAAAAAAATATGCCTTGTATCGTACCCCGACTGTAGAAAAAAAAAATCATTTTTCAGCCGAGTCTGCGACCACGAAAGAGCATTTTCATGTCTCGTTCAAGTACCGAATACATTTGGAGTAAGTAACAAGCAGTAACAAGCTAGTATCTAAGGTGGCTGCTAGTAAACATATCAAGTTTCCAGCTAATATTTTAGTCATAGGCGCAATTTCAATAAAAAAAACTGGGGGTGCTTAAGCTCTGCATTTTTTTTAGGTATTTCAGTTGGAATTTTTAATTAATGAAGTTAATGGTTTTTTTTAGCAAGTATGTTTTATAACAATTTAATATTTAACACTAGAGTTTATTAACATAATTAAATCTTTTAATTTTGTAAGTATACATAATACAAAAAAAGACCTGTAGATACAAAGAGATATTTTCCAGGTATTTTTTTATTTTTATACAAGAGGTATACGCCTATCAGATCTGGAAAAAGTATCAATAATTTTGTTTTTTATTTATTAGTATTGTTAAATCTTTTTCTATGCACAGTATTCGGTTAGTCTCTCCTGCCCCATTGACACCCTTAGTCAAGTTTTTATTTTTCTCAAAGCGGAAAATGAACGGTCACATGTTGCTGAGCCAATTGGAAGTGTGAGAGCTACCCGAAATTGTAGCAATATAATTTTATATTGAATTTATTATTCAGTTATAATTTGATCGTTGTGAATACAACATATCTCTTATCTCTAATCTCTTATCAGATAACAGCGTAACGCTTTTTTCGGTCAGAAAAAACCTCCCCCAACCCCATGTTTTAGCTTCGATGCAAAGAAGAGACCCTCTATTGGTTTTACCATGATGTGAGCTTTTATTTTTTGTCTGTAATTTTCTTAATACTGGATTAATTGGTCCTTCGAATAGCAACTCTATAAATCACAAATTTCCTCTAGTTGATACTTTGAGGGGAGTAAGTACATAAGTTGCATACAACTCAATATACTACATAATATAATAAATCTATAAACGCCTATATTCATACGGGCATCGCGAGGGCGAGAGTTGTGGAAAAAAATATCTTGGCCGACCTATTACATTGAAAGTGGATTGGCTTCAATACGATTTATATAAGAACCTTTCAGGGTACGAAAATGAATCCCACATATTTGAAATTGAAAAATACGTTGTTTTCAATGTATTTTTCACAGCGTTACTGTGTGCTCAATTCTAAATATGTAAAATTGTTTTTGCGCTTGTGTGTTGATTTAGAGAACTGTTTTTGTGTGAGCTATTGCTCATATTTTGTTAGTCACTTCGATAAGAAACCTAAAAACATAAAACGCTAAAAACAATGATGAATAATAGTTGTGTATAATTTACACACAGTACTTCAAGGTCTTTAATGTACTGGCGCATTTCATAGTATGGAAAATCTGGGTACATAGACCATATTGTTTAGTATTTTTTTTTTTTTATTCAAAATAGTATTTCATATCGATACGGTTTTTAGATGTAAATAGAATGAAATACAATATTTTACCTAAGGATATTCCATGTATAAAATAAAAACCAGAAAAAACTTAAGCAACTTATGGTTATATATAATAAAGAAATTATTCTTTATTATATAAAATAAAACCTAACACATTATCGTTTAAAAATGTTTTCATAATGAATATCCAGCAAAAAAAAAAAAAGACTGGTCGATATAAAGTTTGGAACAAATATTTATGGATAACTTGAGAAATAGGCTGAAGGACAACTTTAACAGCTATCGTTAATTTTGGACACTCAAAATAATAATAACACAAAAAAGCCAAAACAGCGGGGTCGGGGCATAATGGGGACGGAGCATGATGAGTTCAGGGCATAGAGGGGACAGAGAGGTTACAGGTCTACAGGAATGATTAAAAATAAGAATGAATAAAATCATATTCAAATAAACGCTTTGATGCTTATTTGTAAATACAGCACATCAATTTAATACTTTCTAACCTTGCTGGTTTAGACAGGGTGATTCATTAAGACACTCATTTTATCGGAATATATTAATATTTTGAAAAAAAGATTTTTTGCTATACATTGTACTATGTTTTTCAACATTTTGAAAAAGTTTATCACCAATTCTTATAAGCCCAAAAAGGGGGATTTTTGGTTTTTTCAAAAGGCAACATTTATACTATTTATGATAATAGTTATCACAGATGACAATATGGCGTCTACACAATACCTCAGATACCACGGACTTATTGAGTGACCAGTAACCATATATTATTTTATTGTTTATACAAAAATCGCATCATATTTAAACATACCCTAAATTCTTTCAACTAACAAATTTTGACTTTTCACATTTTTTCTATTAGTGAAATAAGAAACTACAAACTTAATTAAAAATCCTTTTATTGACTGGTAAACATTTTCCTGCACAATATGGTCTTAACATATTTGTCGACAACCCAAAAGCTGTTGATGCAACGCAATTGTCAGATAATATGGCTATTGGAGATGAAAGTTTAACAGATGATAATATAAATAATGCAGAAAAAACTGTTTTGAAACCTCCGCCCGTTAAAAAAGAAAAGAAAAATAACTTAGAAGAAAAACTTGCTTTGTTTTTGGACTCGAGACAACAAAGTAGTAATGAACCAAACCGAGACACTGATGACGAGGACCTAAACTTCTATAAGTCAACATTACCATTAGTTAAGACATTGAACACGGAACAAAAAATGCAATTCCTATTTTATTATTTCCTATTATTCCTATTTTTCCAATTGCAAAGTACTATGTAACTTTTAAACAATACACAAAGTGTATGCTAATTGTCTACTAAGCTAATGTATAATTTTAATTTTTTTGTTAATCAAATGCTAAGGATCACAAATTACATAACAAAAAAGTTCCATGTTTTTTTTTTTTAACTCTTCATTAAATATAATTTTAATAAATGCAATTTATGATAAAATTATACAACTAATTATTTTGTATATATTATTGCCTCAAAGCAACTGCCGACATCTCTTCTGCTGGTATCGCAGATCTCATAATTGTATTTTGACGCATTATTTTCGATTTAATTTTGTTGTATAGCTCGTCAAATGTGCTTTGTGACATGCGAAAATAATCAAAACAATTTTGCATTGTCAGCTCTCAACAAGTTATAAAGATTATAAAATGCACCACTTAATAATCGTTCACTGTTTATTGTTGATGAACCCGCCATTTTCGATCCCCTATCCCTTACTCTATCTCATATCTCTTTCCCCTATCTCTTACCCGCTATCTCCTATCTCTTACCCCCAACCCTATTACCACCCCCACCCCATCACCGTGTCCGTAACTATTGCCCTGAAGATGGACTCTGCCAATAGTTTGCAAAATCTTTTTTCAAGTTTGACTATTTGCTATGACCTTCGAATTTTCGACGTAAAAAGTAACACAAAACAAAAAATTTGTAATTCGAACATCATACATACATGTTATGTATTGTTTTTGTCGTTCGATCGGTGTATTTTTCTGCTTGAAATTTATAAATATTAAAGGATGGCAAAAAAAAAAAAATGACTAAAACATTCTCATGTGTGTGCACAAGTGCCGAAATTGTACGCTTTTCGAAAATATTTTCTATTTATTGTATAACCTAACCATTTTTTCGAATAAAAAATTTTGCCAACAAAATTACCCACGGAAAACCCCGAAATTTCAACAACACTCCCTCCTCCTGGAAAAAAGGCTGAATGTTTTTAAAACTTGTTTGGCGCAATTTTAACATTTAACAACCAACAAGTGAAATCAATTCCAAATTTGTGTGGAATTTAAACAGTTTCCAATAGAAGAAAAGATAGAATTGTTTTCTTTATTTCACTTTTCGAAAGTTTTAGGGATTTAGATCGGGAAAATTAAACCGAAGGTATATTATCTAGAACGGAACCTGTAACATGTACAATTTTCTCAAAAAAAAAAAAAAAAACTGTGATCAAACTTATTTTATATTAAGGAAAACCTCCCCAAAATAGGGTAAAATTACACTTTTACCGTAGTCAATTTTCAGGTTGCTATGTGCGAGTGAGTCAATAGACAATGAAAATATTTCATTATATTGTTAACAACGATATATGTGTTATTATAACAATACATTTTTATATAGAGAGAACCTATTTTATATTTGTGACCAATTATTTATAAAGATAACATAATGTTTAAACTCTGCTTTCTTTTTTACTTTTGTTCAACTCCTTGTGGAAGCAAGTCCTTTAATGTGTATGGCCTCAAGTGTAATTGTCATTTAAATGTAATTTGTAGTATGTTAAGTATGTAATCAGCGAATGTACAACTAACAAACTGAGAGCATTCACTGAACCATTTAATTCTTTAGTCACTCTTACATTATAGATTCAAATATTGGATGAGTGGTTTTATCTAACGACTAAAAATTGTTTGATTGAATTTTTTTTGATTAAATAGTCAATGTCAACTGGTTTCACCAGAGATAACAAAAAGTGAATACATTTGAAAACAAAAATGTAACAAATGTGTAACCCAAATCATATCCACCCTTAAATTAAAAATTAATTTTTAAGCACATAATTGTCATTAGGTACTACAACGCTCTTATCGATATTTTTTTTTTTATCCGTGATCACTGGATTGCTCTTTGAGACCCAAAATTGGGTTTCCAAACCATAAAATATGTAAGGTTTTTTTTATGCTCTGAATTTTCGTTGTATATAGGTATTATAAAAGCGTAAGCAACACACGTTAGTAATATTTTTTTTTTTTGCATTTTATTTACCTTAAATTCGTATCGGTATGAAAAAACATAATATGAGTCATAATAATACACATAAAAAGCTACTTAATGGTAGATGTACTCAGATTTTTCGCACTATTTAATGCGTTAGTATATAAAAGGCCTATTTATTATGTTAAGGGTCTTATCATGTTAAACATATTCGATATAGACACAAATGTGTTGTATACCTTTGGGTAGAATTTACAGAAATGAGAAAATTGTAAATATATTTATAATATATTATTATTTATATAATATTTAAAAAAAAACTATAAATTATATATTTTTGTATTTTATTTTTATCCATATTTCTACAGTTGGTCTTGGAACATCTAAAATTGTCCACAACCGGTCATAAATAATATAACTCTAATTATTTTTACATTCAAAATTTAAAACCTTTATCATTACTTTTCTAAATAATTTTATATTCACATTTTGTTAAACGCGGGAAAACGTATTGAAAACACGTTTTAAGTTGTATTACTTATTTAAAATAAGAAGAATACTTATTTTGATTTATATTCGAAAACAAAAACAACATCTTTTATCATCGACCTAGTTAAATTATTTCAAGTCTCCAACGTCAAAACGATTTTGATAATTATTATATTTAGGGTCCAATAATTTTTTACTTGAGTAATTAAAATTGTAGTGCAATTGTCAGTATTCCGAATTTAGTTTTATAAATGTATAGACAAAAAATATATTTTAAGACTAACAGAATACATTCCATCTCTTATTAAAATTAATATAAATATGTGGATAACATTCCTTTTTGTTATAAATAAATCCTTTCGCCGACTAGTATATAATTAATAACATCTTAGATCAATATTAACATTTTTCATCTGGAATTTCGGTGAAATTTATTTTTTACACTTGCAATTTTATTGTTTTAATATTTCTCGCTGACTCCATCACAAACATTAGCTTTAATGAGTCGGTAGATTGACGGAGAAAAGAATTTTGAAAAAAAAAGCAAACAGAAATAAACAAACTATATCATCAGACATCACATATTTCGAGTTAAGGCCATAATAAGTCTTATCAACATCACATATAAAAAAAATGTTATAATTTGTTTGTGTGCATTACAAATTCATTGTATAATATGTTTTTAAATAATTACCAAGGCCTAACCTGATTAAATTTGTTTTGTATTATACAAATATTAAGAATTGTACAGATTCCTTAATTTTTATTGTCTATTTTCCAATTTTCAATTAAGGTTTTTATAAAAAAAAAATATTTTCCCAAGTTTTCTTATCTTATTTTTTTACTACTAACAAAACGCTTAAAGGTATTTTCTACTACGATTGTTTTATTTCATGATTGATCGACTATTTTCAAAATTCGCAAAGCACGTTTAAACCGTCGGTTGTCATTTTATTCTGTGTTGTCCACGAGTCACGAGTTAAAAATTAAAATTTAATTTTTGGTTCTCCTTTATTTGTACTTAACCACATTTTCTGTAATTTTGTTTTAAGCCTGATTAATATGGACCAAAACAATGGAAATGAAGGTGAACTTATCTAAATGAATCCAATTACCGTTTGCAAGGTTTTCTACAGGAGTAATTCATGTGCTAATAGTTAATAGCTAGATCCGAATGAAATTCAAAAATCGAAACTAAAATATCTATACGAGATAAACAACCGTTAAGTTTAAACTATTCAGTGAACTGAATGAGCTTGCAAGTTGCCTTGCCACACCGCATACAAGGTGGCCCAGGAAGATTTTACAAATGCAATAACTTTTGTTCTAGTGAATATTTTTCTTTTAAAAATAATTTATACTCATTTGCGCTATAAGCCCCACGATTTTTAATATATTGTGCTCGGTTTAGACTTACTATCAACAGATACGCATCAAAATGTTTGTTTGAAAGTGATTCGATTTATACCAGAAAAATGACCATAATAATTTGAATCTATTTTAGCATTTGTATTCGACTAAAATTTTAATTCTGGTTAGAATTTCTGTATTGTACAAAAAACCGACCATACGTTTATTGTATTGTTTGATAATGTTGGCAAAAGACAAACAACATAAATTAGAATCAAATACTTTTTAAGTTTTTACATTAAGACAACTGTTGTATTTTATAAATAGGATTTTTATAGTTTTACTATACCTATATATCGTTTTTTTTAATTATGTATAACAAGTGGTTTAATGGCCAAATCGTTTTTTTATTATGTGTGTATCTGATCGTTTGAATTTGCACGCATGATAGAACCGTATTGTTGTCACAAAATATATTATAGCGAATATAAATTTTGTATAAAAAACCAAAATTAAAACTTTAAAACATTTTTTTTTTTTTTACTACGTACCTCTTGTTTTTTAGTTAACACATTTGTTATTATTGTGTTTGTAATGTAATAATAAATGTACAGTTAGCTTTTGTGTAAGCAGAAGATTTAATTAAAATTGAAAAAATCCGAATGTGTATTTTAAAAACAAGTCATAAAAAATATACACATAATATGTATTATGGATAATTTATTTTATTAAATTTGTTTACTCAAATTACAAGCTGATTTGCTTATAAATTCTATCATCGAGATAATTTGTTTTAAGTAATAAACAATCAGCTTCCAACCAACATAGTAAGTACATTTTTTTTATACATTTTATCAAGTTTTACTTGATAATTATTTTGCTATCTGTTTTGTTACCGGTAAGACAATTTCATTAAATTGCAAGCCTATATTGTACACATAATCCACATTTACTGTATATGCTATTCTATTCGATTAGATAATTAGAAAATAGATCCTAATTCTATTAAATATTTTTCAGTTTTCTTGGTTATTATACTATATACGTCGGATACAGAATTAGGTCTATGAAAAAATTTAACAAATCCGATACAAGTGATTAAGCTAAATAATTGATAAAATTTAAAAATAATAATCAAATATAAATAAGTGTTTATATTTGATATATGATTAATAATTTAATTCAATTAAATTTATTCCGATCTAGTGTTTGTCCAGGACCGAGGACAGTTATTACTTATTTACTTCGTTATTTTAGCTACTCTGCGAATATAAAGTAGTATACCAAAACTAATTACTCATTAGTATACATAGTACTTACGGGAAGGGGAGGGTCGGGTTCAACCCCCCCCCCTAAGAGCCAAAACAAAAAAATCGTGAACAAGTAATATATTATAGGTATTTATTGTATAATTGTTACAGTCTGAAGTAATTTAGAACTTGAAGTAAATAAATATAGTAAAAATAATAATTTAATAATTATATTTTAATTATTAAGTGTTAAGGGCAAGGTGGGGGAATTGCGGCCACCTAAGCAAGAATTAAAATTTTATCTTCGGAACTAAAGTCCAGAAATTTGACTATTTCTTGAAATTGAACTATCGAGTTTTTCTTTTCGGAAAAAATATTCCAACGTATTTGATAATTATTTTTTGGTGGAAAAAAGTTGTTTATCATTTCGAAACATCTGGTTAGGTAGTATTATTTTTTTACAACTCTTCCCCCCCCCCCACCAAAGCAAGATTGAATGTACACCATTAGTTTTGGAAAAAAACGAGCCAAAGTGTGTTTACTCAAATGGATAAGGCTTCGTTTAATAAGTCAGAGGTATTAATAGTGGTGTTAATATTGCACTTTATGCAATTTGGTAAAAGTGGTAGCAACCCAAGTAAGCAACACCGGACACTTGATATTTATTAACCGACTAACTTCTAGACTATTCTTTTCAGTTTAGTATAAAAAAAAAATTACAGATACATAGCTAGACTTTTTACACGACACTTAATCAGTACTTGGCTTGCAAAATATTTGCCCAAAACTAGGTATGGATTCTGATCACTAGATACAGCCTATAGGTACCAAGAATTATAACGACATTATAATTATAGCGAAGCTCTAGTATAATTAATAATTTGCTTTAATCGTCGCTGACAACATCGACAGCTGTTTTTTGTATTTTGATAAGGAATAAAAAAAAAACGTATACTCTGTTGCCCACATTCAAATAATAAAGGGGTTTATACTGCAATACAATATGTCAATATGTCATACTGAAATTCATCAAAATTCCAGATGAAAAATAATTATATTTTTATTTTGGCTGGCCAACCAGATTGGCATGGGATTGGCTTAAATGCGATTTATAAAAGAACATTATTTCAGGGGACAAAAACTAATCCCACATATTTCGAATTGAAAAGCATGTTGATTGAAAATTATTTTTCAACACATTATTGTACGCTTAATTTCAAATTTGTAAAATTGTTTATGTGGCTGTGTATTGATTTAGAGAAAAAAATTTTATACGTAGTTGGAAGATAAAAAAATTGTAAAAACAATATCCATTCGGCTGTGCATCAAATTCAAAGTCAATAAACAAAAGTACATCGTGCATGTGTCAATATGATGTCAATTTAAGAGTTGTTTTGAATGTTTTTGAGTGAAGCGTATGTGTTATTTTTCTTCTTCTTATACTTGCTACACCCATTTGCCGTTGGATTATTCCATCATAACAGTTTTAAGAAATAGATGTATTTTGTGTCAGTGTTCAGGCAAGCGATACGATGTTGAAGCTGGTATGTATATTGCAGTGGTCGATAGTAATAAATATTATTATCTATAGCTCTGGTTGGAGAACCCTTTGTTGTCCGAACAATGAAGAAACACATCCCGAATGGTACTTTTCCACGTTAACCTCATACAATTATGTTTCTTCCAAGAGAATAAATGTACCAGGTATGTTTTATTATTTTGAATTACTATTGCTTTTTATTTTACCAACAATAACATTTGAAACTTTATACGGGGTGTCATGTAAAGTTATACCGAGCTTCAAATGAGACATTCAGGATGCTCTATGGGTACAATAAATGGTATTCATTTTTTTTTTTAATTATTTAAAATAGAACTCGTATCTCATTTAAAAATTGTCTTACGAATAAAATAATGTCAGATTTCAAATTGGGAGAAAAAATCTAGTTGAATTGATATGTAACACGACTTTTTGGTATCTGGCCATATTTGCGCCCACCAAGTGGCCACTGAGTGGCCGGCATGTGACTAAAACCAACATATGGCATGCGACACATAATTAAGTAAAAATTAATTCTAACGACTCTAAATTGAGAATAAAATTCTAACTGATAATGATGTGTCCCTTACAATATTATGTTGGTTTCGGTCACATGCCGGCCACACTTGGTGGACGCAAATGTGGCCAGATACCAAAATATCGTGATACATATCAATTCAACAAGACTTTTTCTCCCGATTTCAAATCTGACATTATTTTTTTCGTAAGACAATTTTTTAATGCGATACGAGTTCTATTTTAAATAATTTTAAAATTAAAAAAAAAAAAACTACCATTTATTGTACCCATAGAGCATCCTGAATGTCTCATTTGAAGCTCGGTAGAACTTTACATAACACCCTGTATAGTTGTTAGTATTAAGTATCATAAGTCATAACCAACATGGGGGGTTATTACTTTCAAATACGGCACGGACATAACTGAAATTAACTATTTTTTTTTTTTTGTAATTTATAGACGAAACTCCAATTCAGCTTTTCGTGGTAGCTAAACATGGCACGCATACTCCATTTTGGAACAATAATAAGGTGGAACACTATGATCGATATCAGATGAGGGATAAATTAAACATTTCCGAAAATGCTGAAATGTGTCCATCGGATATTAAAGCAATTAATGATTGGCATCCAACAAATATTGCAACAAACGCAGCAGGATTAGTAAAAAAAGGCCGCGATGAAATCATAGAATTAGCCCAGCGGATTCGAAATGCTTTTCCAGATATATTTACCAAGAGATACAAGAAGAAACACTATGATGTATGATTCGTCATTTAACATAATATAATACGATAACAATAATTACTTTCTACGCTTATACAAAAATATACTTTTAGGCATTGACAAGGCCGGAGCAATATTGTAAAGAAACTGGAAGACTTTTTTTAAAAACTATTTTTAACAATTCAAACATTAATGTTGATACTGTTCCGGTATGTGTCAAAGACGACAAAATACTAATGGCAAGTAGAAATACACTCAGTGTTATCGTAAGCCTTTGCTTTTAAGTTTCATTATATTTTGATTTAGATTGATTCTCACATGGAAAATTATCGATCTGTGAAAAAAATGTATAATAGAGAAAAAATACACTTCTTGCACACCGATCACTTAAAGAATGTTTCTCAAAAGATTTTTAAAATATTAGAACGCGAACCCAAAGGCCCTTTAATAGGTAGGCTTGATGTTACAAAAATAATGTATAAGTCAGTGAAATCTTATTGTAACATTATTATGCTTCAGATTATAAATTGGTGTATTCTTTGTACAACACGTGTGCAATAGAAAGATCTCTCGATGAACAATCAATACCACCTTTGTGTCGCTTATTCAGCAAAGAAGATCTCAACGTAAGCAATGTAGTATGAAGGCGCTTATATAATGCTATGAATCTACATTTTTATTTTTTTTATTTCTTGTAGGTTTTGGAATACACGAGAGATCTCTTATACTACTTTGAAGAAGGTTATGGGAATCCGTTTAGCGCAAAATATGCTTGCCCAATGGCCATTCGCTTACTAGAAAGCTTCAAGTAAAATAATTTTTCATAAATACTATTATATATATTAATGTGATACGCGAATCATATCTTATAGTGATAATGTCAAAATTGAATGGTTCTGCATAATTATAGAGTTGTAGTACTTAAAAAACCGGTGGTCCGCTGATTTTTTGCCTCTCTCAGTTTTCCGGAGATTATGAACTTTCTCTTATCAGCTGATTGCCTTATCAATAATCCCTGATCAGCTATCCAAAACTGTACGGTTTTTTCTTATCACCGTCCCCATCCCCTACAAATGAAATCACCATTCTATAGATTTGTTCGTTTTAACAAAAAGTGCACACCAAAGTGTTTGTTTTAAAATAGTGTAGTCGTACACATTGTAACACATTGTGTTGATTTGATCATTTATTTTAATTTCAGAAATAAAATAGAAGAAAACGGTCCAAAAGGTGTTTTTTATTTTGGAAACTCGATAAACATATTGAATTTGTATGTCATGTTAGGTTTATCCAAAGATAAAGTTCCATTAATGTCATCCAACTATGAAAGTATGAAGGACCGAATGTGGAGAACTTCTAAGATGGCTCCATTGGCAGCAAACTTTATGGCTGTACTTTCCAAAACCGGCAAACGCTCTCAACTGAATTATTACGTGCAGTTTTATTTTAACGAAAAACTTACGTCCATAACGTTAAATGACGGGTCTGGATGTGAAAAATGTCCGTGGTCAAAGATTAAAGAGAAGCTGGAAAAATATATACAAGACTATAGTTGCAGGTCAGGTTTCAATGCAATTCAGCCGGACAAGTCATATTCCAATCAGTATTGGCATTTTTCCACGATGACAGCATACCGTTTGGTTTTCTCTGATGAAATTAAAAAACGACAGAGTAAGTACACCTGCACTTGTTAGTTTCAAATCGTCTGAACAATCTATATACCAAATTGGACGTCAATGTTCATGCAATTTGTTTTGTAATATAGATGATACACCGGTTCAGATTTTTATGGTCATGCGGCATAACATGACATTGCCGTCTGACGACTTTTTTAAAGAATGGACACGTTATCAGGGTTATAAATACAAAATTACCGCAAAAACAAAACTTAGCAGGACAGATATAATTAACATTCAAGATTTTGATGGAGATACTCACAAAGATAGCAAAGACATTGTATTACATATTAAAATAGAAGCCATAGCCACTCGCATTCGACGAGCTTTCCAGAACTTATTTAGCACACCGTTTAATTCAGAAAACTATAAGGTACAATGTGTCCTATTAAACATAATATTATAGAAGGTTGTACACCTTGTATTTAAATTGCAGGTGTTGTCAAGGCCAGAGAAAATTTGTAAGAACACTGGAGAAATGTTTTTGCAAAGTCTTTTTAAAAACGAAAGCATTACCAGCGTACCAGAATGGGAGAATAGTAATCAGTTACTAATGGTAACACGGTGAACTGCGCTTGAGGTTTCCCTTGTTTAAATAATGATGAATATTTTAAATTAGGTGGATGAACTCAATGAAAATATCGTGGAATCTGAAAAGTTCAAAAAAAGTTACGTTATAAATAAAGTTTTAGAAAGGGTTGCAATCCATATGGGGCTTGAGCCTGGAGAACTCGGTAAACTCAGAATACGTTAATTTGCATAACAAACTCTGATGTCTTATTAAATGTTTAGATTTTGGTTTCATTAACTTTGCATATGAGACGTTTCGCTTAAGGAGGGCTTACGATGAATCGTCATTTCACCCGTTGGGCAAGATATTCTGCCAAAAAGATCTCAAAGTACTATATTATGATAAACATTATTTGATTATGATTGTATTAACGCCTATACAAATTAATAAATATTGACATGCACAACATTGGTTTAGGCATTGGAATACATTGAAGAACTAAAATGGTACTATACTGCTGGTTATGGAAACCCTTCGAGCTTACAACAAGCTTGTCCTATGGCCAAAAGTCTTTTGGAAACTTTCAGGTACAAGTTTTAGTACCGCAAAAAACAACACAATTAGTTATTATTTTGTAATACTCTTAAAATAAAATTTCATATATATAGCTTTAACCACTATTTGCTTCAAGTTCTTATCGTATAGAGCTTAGTTTACACTACGTTGGTGTATATTTTGAGGGTCAGACAATATACACAGTCTGGTTCGTATAAACTTTACAATAATAATCTTAACATCATCTCTGGAATTTATTAGGTATTTTAATGTTTGTGTGTCGACCTTTAATTTACAATTATTGTCAAAACTATATGCTATACAATCCTAAAAAAAAAAATGTTATCCGATAAATGTATCTCTATTCTTATATTTTTTTTAAATCAGTTATAGAAAATATTATGCATTAGTGTAACTAATTTACATTTTATACTTCCAGAACAAAAACCGGAGGAAGCGGTCCAAATGGCGCTTTTCATTTTGGAAACGCTCATAACATATTTCATTTATATGTCATACTGGGTCTAGCCAAAGACAAAGCTCCATTAGATTCAGCTAACTACATTGCCATGGAGGAACGTCAGTGGAAAAGTTCCACGATGGTTCCATTGCTTGCAAACTGCATGGCTGTACTTTTTAGGAGCGATAATGGCCAATACAAAGTATCATTTTATTTCAACGAAAACCGCAAGCTCATAACGTTGGATGGCGGGCGTACATGTGAAGTATGTGAGTGGTCCGATATTGAAAAGCTGTTGACGTTATACATTGAAAAAAATGGCTGCACTAGCCACTAGGTTGATGAGATAATCAAAATATATACCATATAAAATAACTGAAATCAAATCGTATTTGCTTACTGGTAATTCAATTTGATGTGTTGTGAATAAATAACTGTAAATCGTATACACTTTACGTTAATTATATTATCTATTTCATATTGTTTTAGTATAACATTCAACACTTAGCATAATGTTTTGTTCAAGCTTATGAGTGATTATTTTCTGTGGTAATTATTTTTGTCGCAATATTTTACAAAAATGTGTGTAATTAGATTGACAACAAAAAACTAACTGTTTCTCCATTTTATTAATTTTATTTTAAATCTATTGTAATATAATATAATATATATTAACTAAAACCATATCTTGTTTGTTTATAATCAAATCAATTTGTGATGTCAATAAATAACTATAAATCTTACGTATACATTTTTTTCTAAAATCTTATTAGACTTTATTGAACAATATTATAGCTGAACATTTAAAATACTTTATAGGTGTTAAGTTGAAATCCTAATTCTATTAAATATATTTCAGTTTTCTTGGCTATTTTATTATAAACGTCGGATACAGAATTAGGTATATGAAAAAATTTAACAAATCTGATACAAGTGATTAAGCTAAATAATTGATAAAATAAAAAATAATAATCTATTATAAATAAGTATTTTTATCAATTTTCCAACCCTAGTTTAAGCGAAAATTCCATACCGTAGTTTTTTTTTACTAATTAGGACCTGTAGAATTCATTTTTGACGGTTTTTTTTATTTTTAATGAATAGTTTTTTAATTATAGCGTGTATCTTTTAATATACACCACCCATTTGACTAATTCAATAGTTGTATCTTTTAAATAGTATTTTATATTTTACGTAGAATAGGTTTTATTAAATATGTATAATGTATAGTTATAAGACGTATGTTAGTTTGTATTAATTAGGAAAATGGTTTTTAGGACATAAAACTTATTTTTTAAAATAATTTATTTTAATCAAATGAACAAAAAACAATGCAAATATGTTGATACCAATATGTAGCTGAAGAAAATGGCTCATATTGGGCGCTTATATCAAAACGTGTGTATTTATCTAATTTGAATGCCTGCAGATCGTCAAAAATTACATGTCTTTTTGTTTAACTACTAAAAAAGAGTCCTAACTACTGAACTCATAGTTACACATCACAGTTTAACATCAAAATTGATATTATTAACACAGAAAAGATATTAGTATATTTTGATATTTAGTTTTTTTTTTCAAACTATTATAACGCATACAGGTCCTATTTTCGAACAAACACAAATTATTTTATTTCTGATGTTATGTTTTTTGACATTTTCATGCTTAGCTCTGGCACATAACCGAACTGTCCGAAAAAAATGTTAGTCACGAAAAACTGGTTACGCTGTTATCTGATGAGAGATAAGTATTATGTCGCCAGACAATAAATACTTAATAAAAAAATTATCGGTTATTGCAACAGACACATGGGCGACACGACATTGGATATTGAAACATTGTTTTACACAATCTTTAAACATTAAAACACAAAATGTTAACAAATGGCTAACCAAACACCTTCATTCAATGGCACCTCATTATGAAGCGGAAGAACTGTCAATAGTTTTAAATTCTTTAACATTTACAACCATATATGTCAAAGGACTACAGAAAAAAGATATTTTACATGAGTTTATACCATATACTAATATAATTAACCTTGAAGATATTGTTTGTCCTCGTATAGATCAATTACACTCTGATGATTCATACCCAACGTGTTTATTTCACATGAATTAAGGCCCTAAACAACACTGTACTTTTTATAAAATGTTTACATTACGCAATTGGTTTTAAACAATGCATAACCTTGTATATTATCAATGTATGTATTTTAATTAAATAAAAAAACATTTTTTTTTTGTTAAACAATTAGTATTGTATTTATTAACATTACGGTTATTGTATACTATTATACAAACATATTATCAAGAATAATACGATTTTAACCAGATGGTTTTACATAATATTGTCTTTACATTAAATATTTTATAACAATTTTTATAAAAAAAAATGTTTTAATGTTAACTTTGAAGTTATTACAATGCAATGGGGTGGAGTTTGTATTTAAATGGCTTTTATTCATCTATTTACACCACATCACATCAGAAGTGGGAGGGTTCGCCTGCGCAAAACTGAAGGTGTGGTGCAATAGGTACGACAATACAAAAATGCTTAAAGGGACAAAAAAAAAAGAATACATGTATATTGTAGTATGATAGTAGCAGTGATGCCGTTCAAACGGCAGTGTTGGGCGTAACCGATTAATTTATTATTGAATTAGGTAATCGATTACAACATTGTAATCATGATTAAATTAATCATTAATCATTTTATCATTTTGTAAAAGTAATCAGTAATCATGATTATATTTTGTAATCATGAAAACATTAAAAAAAAATTGTTTAACCGCCCCAGGCTTATTACAAAATAATAATAATTGTCTAGATGATATTGCAAAGGTCAAATCGTCTTAGACATCCCATATATTTTTTTTTTTTTTTATGTATTATGTAATACATAAAACCTATGGCGGTTAAAACAATATAATCATTAATCATTTCATGATCACATTTGAAAGATTAATGTAATCATGATTACATTTATATGATTGTATTAATCTAACACTATGATTACTGATTACTATTATAAATCGTAATAATTAAACAGATTACATTTGCCCAACGCTGTCAAACGGTAGTCGGTAGCCGAAATGTCGCCGGCTTTTCCCACTGGCCCGGCCAGTGACATGCGAGTAAGGTTCATGAGCAACTTGTAGAATGGAGCGAGGTTGATAGGAGATCGCCACAACAGTGTTTGCGCCACCCCTCAATGCGCCAACAAGAGGCGGCCGGAAGAGAGTGACGGCGGATGAGCTAAAGGGTCAAGTACCCAAGCAGTGGTGGTTGGACCGATAAAACCGGAAAACTGGAGATGAAAAGCATTTGGCGGACTAGAGGTAGAGCGGTAGGAGGTATCGAAGTCGGGGAAGAGGCGGCTAGAGTGGAAACCTTGGCGACCAAAATAAGGGCCTTGTTGGCTTTGATGTGCCGGTATCAAAGCCAGGCCAAAAAGTACATGCACCGTTTTATACCCTGTTCGCTAAGAGAGCATGCTGGGTTTGCGCGTGTAGACTGAAGACTAAGCAACAAGACTAAGGCGGCAGACAGGGCGGACTTCGGGGGAAACGTTAGTCACACTGGGTGCCACGGGGGGCGCGCAGAACGGCCAATTTTCGTTGGGTTACTATTACGAGTGTAATGGTAATCGTTACCATAATCATAAGTGTAATCGTAATCGTAATCACATCTCCGGTATCTGTGATTACAATCGTAATCGTAATAATATCCCCGGGCCTGTGATTATAATTGTAATCGTAATCACACCTTAAAATTTTCATGATTATAAACGTAATGGTAATTATGATTACGATTTTGCCCAACACTGCCCGGCATGCTCTCTTAGCGATCAGGGTATAGAACGGTGCATGTACTGAGATCACTAGAGTGATCTCTAACGCCTACGGCGCCCCCTGGTTCTTGTTGCATTATGCTCGGGACTTTCTTTGGACTCCACCCAGGGCAGACGGCACTGGTGCCCGAGGTGCCCGAACTCCTTGCATCTCATACAAGCATGCTTCCTCCTCTGAAAATTATCAAAAAATTGTTTTATTAACAACTTTCCAGGGTGTAATCAACTCTTAAAACTCAGGTTCCGTGTATAAATATTTGATAAACTTTTTGAATAAGCGATAATTTGCTTAAACATTTTTGAAATAACAATAAATATTTAATGAATATGGAGAGGGTAAGGAGAATTTTACAACTTTACCGCACTTAACTGATTAAAAGAGCCAATCAAATATACATAGATGTTACCATTTAAGTTTTAAAAGTTGATAGAGCTCTGAAAGAAAATCAGAAAGATACATATTTGAATACGACCTCATATTGTAAAATAACATAAACAAAAGTTTTCAATTGAAAAACTACAAAATTCGAAATAGTTTAATAGAAATAGATTGCCCTATCCATAATGAATCTTCCAGTATAGTCAATTAAATGTCCATGCATTCTAGGGTCGTATTCCTATAGTGTCTCATCAAACGACAAATTTTTATTTTTGGTACTTACCTCTTCTCTAACCAACCTTTCCATATAAAGTCGCTGAAAAAACAAAATAAAGAAAAAGTTGTTATAATTGTATATTTTAAATTTACATATGGTCTAATTTTCAGTCTTTTTAAACCGCAAAAACTTCAATTAAAAAACAAAATAAAGAAAAAGTATCCACCCCTTCTAAGGAAATTAGTTTATAAGCATTTATGGAATGTAAAAAAAGGGGGGGGGGAAATTTGGCCATAGTCAATTTTCAGTATTTTAGACTTACCAAATCCGGTCTTGGTCCACGTGGGACCTCCTCGACCTCCTCGTCTACTCTTTGTTCTGTTATTAACATCGGTTCATTTGAGGGTGGTTCCACATTTTGTTCCTCTCCCTAAACGCAAACAAAGCTAATTAATACAATATTTAAATATATGTTAAAAAAAACCCTAGATATTAATATTTCTCTACTCCAGTTTTGGCATTTTTAGTTATTTTTTATCACAACTGTTATAAACTACCACAACTTATGGGGCGTACAATCGTAAAAAATTGTATTTCACGTAGGGAAGGCGTTGATAAGGCTACTAGACTGTAACCTGTAAATTTAGGATATTTTTAGTTCAATGAAACGAAGTGTGGTACTAGGAAAGCAAGTGGCAAGAAAAAGTATCCACCCCTTCTAAGGAAATTAGTTTATAAGCATTTATGGAATGTAAAAAAAGGGGGGGGGAAATTTGGCCATAGTCAATTTTCAGTATTTTAGACTTACCAAATCCGGTCTTGGTCCACGTGGGACCTCCTCGACCTCCTCGTCTACTCTGTGTTCTGTTATTAACATCGGTTCATTTGGGGGTGGTTCCACATTTTTTTCCTCTCCCTAAACGCAAACAAACCTAATTAATACAATATTTAAATATATGTTAAAAAAAACCCTAGATATTAATATTTCTCTACTCCAGTTTTGGCATTTTTAGTTATTTTTTATCACAACTGTTATAAACTACCACAACTTATGGGGCGTACAATCGTAAAAAATTGTATTTCACGTAGGGAAGGCGTTGATAAGGCTACTAGACTGTAACCTGTAAATTTAGGATATTTTTAGTTCAATGAAACGAAGTGTGGTACTAGGAAAGCAAGTGGCAAGAAAAAGTATCCACCCCTTTTAAGGAAATTAGTTTATAAGCATTTATGGAATGTAAAAAAAGGGGGGGGGAAATTTGGCCATAGTCAATTTCTAGTATTTTAGACTTACCAAATCCGGTCTTGGTCCACGTGGGACCTCCTCGACCTCCTCGTCTACTCTGTGTTCTGTTATTAATATCGGTTCATTTGAGGGCGGTTCCACATTTTGTTCCTCTCCCTAAACGCAAACAAACCTAATTAATACAATATTTAAATATATGTTAAAAAAAACCCTAGATATTAATATTTCTCTACTCCAGTTTTGGCATTTTTAGTTATTTTTTATCACAACTGTTATAAACTACCACAACTTATGGGGCGTACAATCGTAAAAAATTGTATTTAACGTAGGGAAGGCGTTGATAAGGCTACTAGACTGTAACCTGTAAATTTAGGATATTTTTAGTTCAATGAAACGAAGTGTGGTACTAGGAAAGCAAGTGGCAAGAAAAAGTATCCACCCCTTTTAAGGAAATTAGTTTATAAGCATTTATGGAATGTAAAAAAAGGGGGGGGGGAAATTTGGCCATAGTCAATTTCTAGTATTTTAGACTTACCAAATCCGGTCTTGGTCCACGTGGGACCTCCTCGACCTCCTCGTCTACTCTGTGTTCTGTTATTAATATCGGTTCATTTGAGGGCGGTTCCACATTTTGTTCCTCTCCCTAAACGCAAACAAAGCTAATTAATACAATATTTAAATATATGTTAAAAAAAACCCTAGATATTAATATTTCTCTACTCCAGTTTTGGCATTTTTAGTTATTTTTTATCACAACTGTTATAAACTACCACAACTTATGGGGCGTACAATCGTAAAAAATTGTATTTCACGTAGGGAAGGCGTTGATAAGGCTACTAGACTGTAACCTGTAAATTTAGGATATTTTTAGTTCAATGAAACGAAGTGTGGTACTAGGAAAGCAAGTGGCAAGAAAAAGTATCCACCCCTTTTAAGGAAATTAGTTTATAAGCATTTATGGAATGTAAAAAAAGGGGGGGGGGAAATTTGGCCATAGTCAATTTTCAGTATTTTAGACTTACCAAATCCGGTCTTGGTCCACGTGGGACCTCCTCGACCTCCTCGTCTACTCTTTGTTCTGTTATTAACATCGGTTCATTTGAGGGTGGTTCCACATTTTGTTCCTCTCCCTAAACGCAAACAAACCTAATTAATACAATATTTAAATATATGTTAAAAAAAACCCTAGATATTAATATTTCTCTACTCCAGTTTTGGCATTTTTAGTTATTTTTTATCACAACTGTTATAAACTACCACAACTTATGGGGCGTACAATCGTAAAAAATTGTATTTCACGTAGGGAAGGCGTTGATAAGGCTACTAGACTGTAACCTGTAAATTTAGGATATTTTTAGTTCAATGAAACGAAGTGTGGTACTAGGAAAGCAAGTGGCAAGAAAAAGTATCCACCCCTTTTAAGGAAATTAGTTTATAAGCATTTATGGAATGTAAAAAAAGGGGGGGGGGAAATTTGGCCATAGTCAATTTCTAGTATTTTAGACTTACCAAATCCGGTCTTGGTCCACGTGGGACCTCCTCGACCTCCTCGTCTACTCTGTGTTCTGTTATTAATATCGGTTCATTTGAGGGTGGTTCCACATTTTGTTCCTCTCCCTAAACGCAAACAAACCTAATTAATACAATATTTAAATATATGTTAAAAAAAACCCTAGATATTAATATTTCTCTACTCCAGTTTTGGCATTTTTAGTTATTTTTTATCACAACTGTTATAAACTACCACAACTTATGGGGCGTACAATCGTAAAAAATTGTATTTCACGTAGGGAAGGCGTTGATAAGGCTACTAGACTGTAACCTGTAAATTTAGGATATTTTTAGTTCAATGAAACGAAGTGTGGTACTAGGAAAGCAAGTGGCAAGAAAAAGTATCCACCCCTTTTAAGGAAATTAGTTTATAAGCATTTATGGATTGAAAAAAAGGGGGGGGGAAATTTGGCCATAGTCAATTTCTAGTATTTTAGACTTACCAAATCCGGTCTTGGTCCACGTGGGACCTCCTCGACCTCCTCGTCTACTCTGTGTTCTGTTATTAATATCGGTTCATTTAGGGGCGGTTCCACATTTTGTTCCTCTCCCTAAACGCAAACAAACCTAATTAATACAATATTTAAATATATGTTAAAAAAAACCCTAGATATTAATATTTCTCTACTCCAGTTTTGGCATTTTTAGTTATTTTTTATCACAACTGTTATAAACTACCACAACTTATGGGGCGTACAATCGTAAAAAATTGTATTTCACGTAGGGAAGGCGTTGATAAGGCTACTAGACTGTAACCTGTAAATTTACGGATATTTTTAGTTCAATGAAACGAAGTGTGGTACTAGGAAAGCAAGTGGCAAGAAAAAGTATCCACCCCTTTTAAGGAAATTAGTTTATAAGCATTTATGGAATCGTAAGAAAAGGGGGGGGGGGAAATTTGGCCATAGTCAATTTCTAGTATTTTAGACTTACCAAATCCGGTCTTGGTCCACGTGGGACCTCCTCGACCTCCTCGTCTACTCTGTGTTCTGTTATTAATATCGGTTCATTTGAGGGCGGTTCCACATTTTGTTCCTCTCCCTAAACGCAAACAAAGCTAATTAATACAATATTTAAATATATGTTAAAAAAAACCCAAGGTTTTAATATTTCTCTACTCCAGTTCTGGCATTTTTAGTTATTTTTTATCTCAACTGTTATAGACTACCACAACTTATGGGTCGTACAATCGTAAAAAATTTTATTTCACGTATGGAAGCGATAGATAAAGCTACTAGACTATAACCTGCAAATTTAGGATATTTTTAGTTCAATGTAATGCCAGCACTGTGCCATTACTGCCCCCATTATCTTTATAATGTATGACTGATTTCTGTACACAACTAATTTTCATGTCGACTAATAATAATACTTAGGACGAAGAAGGTTGATCATTTTCTGTTGAGTCTTTAACTAGGGATTGTGTTGGTTCATTTTTAGGTTAAACATTTGATGTTCGCTTAATTGCATCATAATGCAGCAAAGTATGATGGCGAGCTGAACAAGTGCGACAGTTGCTTGACGAACAACCCTTTGCATTGTGGTTAGGTGACAAACAATTAAAACAGACGCGCGATCCCTTTGCTACTTCATATCTTTCAGAAACCTTCATATTCCGGAACTTGTAACATCGATGAAACAAGTGATCACCGCGACATAATGGACATTGTGAGGGAAAACTTTGAGTTAATAAACACAGTTTATTCTTTGAGCCGGTAGATTTGTGCTCGTCGGATTTACTGTTAAACACAACAAGTCCTCGCTGACCACTTTCAAACGCGCCAAGTAACCTAATACGAGAGTTGAGAAAAATTTCAAACTGGGAAAATGGAACTACATCAGTTGTGCCCAACGACAGTTCCCATTGTTGTAGAGTCAACTTGTCCAATTTGCTTAACGCTAGCTCAATCAATATTGCATCCCATTTATCTACTGCCTGACCAAGGTTGCTTAATGCTTGTCGATGCTTTAATAGAGATGTTATAAAACAGTTTAGCGACACAGAAGAGGAAGTCCTGATCTTGGCGAGTTCAAGTATTGAACGGATATGGGATTGCACTGCTCTACGCTTATCATAGGTCGTATCTCTTCTTCAGCAATTCCATAGCAGAGAAATATGTGCATTCACCCGATGGCAATGAAGCAAACAAATTTAACGGTTCGCCGCTCAAGCATGATTGCAAATAATGGAACCTTTGAATGTTGGAGATTGACTTTTCAGTGTCTATGAGAGTGCTGAACTGATTCTCAAAAGTTTTCCATTGTTGTATGTCTCCTTTGAACGGAGGCAAAAGCATAACTGGTAATCGAACATGATGTGCTACTGTAAACACAGCTGGAATATTGGGAGACACTAACTGAGTAGGCTGAAGATTTGAAATGAGCTTATCATGTTCTGCCAATACTGCAAAATCTTTGTGATCAAACTCCTCTCGTTGTTTTTCATGATCATTAACATTAGCAGTATTTACACATTCAATTTGAAGTTGCACTGCTTCAAAGACACTTCGCGTTTTATATAGCTCTTCTCTTCTTAATTTTAAATCTTGCACCGTGGACGGCTCCCATTTGTACTTTAATAAAGCGTTGCTGGCTCGCGTAACTGCTGATTTTGGTTGGGCACGATCCGCAATCAAATCTGCTTCTAATTTGGCCGTTGAATTTGCCATGATGGTGGGACGTTTACTAGCTTACAGACTAAATACAATTTACCTACAACTTACAACCTGCGCCACCAGTATCGTACCAGTAATACGGCACTTGGCCTATATACAATATAACTAACTAAATACACGAATAAACAAATATAGGTATACCTTTCAGGATACGCACAGTATTAGCTTAGTTCTACCCACGCGACCACTCTGAGGCCTGTAAGTTATAGGGACTACAATTTTTGGGGTGAACATGTGACCTCAGCAGTGTAGCGACTAAATACTGTGCATACCTGTTTTTCTCCGCGAGGAACAATTACAAACACTAGTGGCCGGCACAACCAGCCTCGAACAATGAATCAACAACATTTGAAACCGACACGAAAACACAACTTATCTAAAAATCAATAAACCGATTTAATATAATTTTACTGTATCCTGCCAGAACGACACCAACTTTACGTTCCCCGCACTCACTAACGCGTTGTTCGAGTTCAGTGTCTGCTGATGAAAATGTATTTTTAACGTATTGGCGCGCGGGTAACTTTTAAGGGTAAAAATGTATTCTGTAGTAGTAAAATATAATTATTTTATAAGTTTTTAGACTTCTTGCAATATAAATTACCATAAGAGTTGAAAAAAAGTAGTAAAAAAAATGCAAAAAGCGTTGAGAGAAGTACCGGATTTGAACCCGGTACCTCTCCGCTTCCGGCACCGATCACGCCCGACCGCACCACATATAGATTTTGCTGGAGGTCGAAAAATAGATCGATTTAAGATATATGGAAAAAATGTGTAAATTTCAAAGTAAATTCCCCTTGTTAGAAAATGGCTGCTGTTTTTCGTTTACACAATAGCAATTTCAATCAGCCAATCAGAAGGTTCCATTTGAGCGCACGCACGTGATAGACGGGTGTGCGCCATTTTGTACGACATTTAATGTTAGGTATAATAAAATACGTTTAGATTTTTTTATTATTTCTGCACGGCATTTCAGCTAATAAAATAAGATGTAATAAACTCCAAATGTTAAACTTAATATTTGTACTGTTATTTTATTATACAAAATAGTAGATACATTTTTTGTAATTAGATCCGAAAAATAAATCTATAATAAATTATGTATTCTTATGTATAATTATCTCTCTTATCTCTTGTAGATTAAAAGTTTTCAACCCGACCTAAAACGCTCGTAAATATATAAATATATCTATATATATATATACATATATTCGTACCTAAATACAGGTGCGTAGGTCGTTCAGTAATATTTCCACTTGAGCATTGAACTAACCCCCCCCCCCCTTTCTAATATCACTGTTTATAAGTTATGGTCAATACTCGAGCCATTTTGTTGGATATTTCTAATACACGATTGCGTTAAATGAAAGCGACATCCGTTTATCTTCAACCGAGGCCAAATATCAATATTTCTGTGATGTTATTGATTCGGGCGCTGTTTGCATTTCATACCGACGATAAGAAGCTGGGCGCAGCTTGTAACATGTAACCTTTTTTAAACCAAATTATAAACGGGGCGCAGTTTGCCTACAGCAAGGTAATTTGGGCGCAGTGGCCCAAAAACTCAACGGATAATCGTTTTCTTGCACCCGGACAGATTCCGGCTCGGACCCGACCTTAACACGTAAAGATTGTCGAGCGGAGTCGTGTGTGCGACCGTTTCCTTAAATATGACAGTGAAATATTTGTTTAATTCATACGTACGGTCAATCGTGAGCTGCGCCACCAACCCACCGCGTATTGCACCAGGCCGTAAGTTCCAACTCCTGCAACGAACCCTCCGGCCACTAGCGCTGAATTTAACACCATCTTTTCCATATTTTCGCAAAATCAGTTGTATTCTTCAAGTCAATCAAACGGATAAGTTCTCGAGACTTTCTGAAAAACATCAACGTAATACTGTTATAAATAATAGATAACAACAATACCTAATAATAAACAATGATTTCTAAAAGCCAATTAACATTTTTATTCTATTCGGATAGCTTATAAATCATCTGGTAAAATTCCGAGCTTTTTAAATGTTCAAAAATGTTTTGTTTTTTTCAATAGATTTCGTCTATTCAAATATTATGGTTTATATTTTTAACGAAAGCGCCTAATTGAGTCAATGAGTCTCAATAGAAGGTTCCATGTTAGACTACTGGACCGAAAAAGGCCGATGGAGAAATTTAAAAAATGGCCTCCTGCGAGATAGTGTCGTCGAACCAATAATCTTTAATGTGTCTGTACAAATGACCAGCCCGTTATGGAAACTACTCGCCGTTTCCTGTATGCCGACGATTTAGCGATAACTGCGCTGGGCAAAACTTTCAGTGAAGTGGAACAGACACTCACACATGCGCTGGAGAAATTGGACAGATTCTATACACAGAACTCACTAAAACCCAAGCCAGCAAAAACGCAATTAAGTGTATTGCACCACAACCAAAATAGGTTATTTTTTGTTCGCGGCTTTTGGAGTAAAACAACATTTTGTTTTACTCGTTTATTTTTGTATCGAAATGTCTGCGAAAATTCAAATAATAATTCCATGGTATTATTTAACGTCAAAAAACGTTGGTTTAAATCATACGAATTTGAAAAAGAAAGTAAAATCAATGTTTTTGAAAATAAATGAAGAAAGTTCGGAGTAATATGTCATAAGTACACATATATAGTTTTTACTAGCGGTCGTAAAATAGGTCTATTTAAGATACATCAAAAGATATGTAAATTTCAAAGTTGATTATCTCTGAAATCAGGACGCATTGGCACAAACGCTCGAATAAGGGTCTTTTTATTTCTCATAAATAACATTTACTCGCAATTTGAAGAAAATCCGTCACGCCTTTACTGTGACCTCCCCTTGTTAGACAATAATATGATGAGTACTTTAGCTAGATTTAATTTTAACAAATGTTTGACGCTTGTGTTCCATACGACATACCTTGTAGTATTTATATTCAATATTTTATAAAAGCTATTGCAATTAGAGGGAGACCGGTTTATCATGTCATATTATCTGGTTATTATAATTATTGTAACGTTTTTATTATTATTATAACGTTTTTATGAACTCACAATCTTGTTTGTCGTTCCGGGTGGAATCCTGCAACTCAAATTTCGAGCACTTCCCGATTAGCTATCCGGCTGAAACTTTCAGGGTAGCTCATAATTCGATGACAATACATTATTAATCCACAAGAGGTTGAAAATTCCACCCCTAAGAGGGTTGGATGATGAAAAAGGGGATTTCTTGTCCGTTTTATATTAAATTTAAATGGGATATGCAATGGATACTATAGAAAGCGGTAAATGTTAATTTATAGTGATTTTATCCGAGAGTACTTGTACAGTGGAGTATAGGCATAACGGAATCAAAGCAACGAGGGGACGGAGAGGTCACAGGTCTACAGGAATTATTAAAAATAAAAAACTGATAAAATTGAATAATATCACTTTCAAATAAACGCTTTGATGCCTATTTGTAAATACAGCACCTCAATTTAGTACTTTCTAACTTTGCTGGTTTATACTGTGCTTGGTTTGGACTGTACTGACTTGAAAATACTAACTACCGATTTGCATCGAAGCGTTTTTTCTAAAGTGATTTTATCACTTTCAGATTTAAAAACTCCTGTAAACCTGTGACCTCCCCGTCCCCACTATGCCCCGACACCACTGTACTGGTTTTTGTTAACTATTAAATGCTCAAACGCATACCCATTCTATTGAAAATATACTAATTAATTTTGTAACAAATGCTCAACAAATAATTCATATTTTTTTAGCAAAAGCCCCGTATAGTAAATAAATACGTTTTAAGTTGTTTAATATTATTAGTAAAGAATTATTTCCGCTAGTTGTTAATTCACAATAATGCTCGTCACACTATGGTCTACTTATTTGGGGAGGCCTTTCTGCTAATGCTCTAAAACCTTTGTTAATCCAACAAAGACAAATTGTTCGAATATGTTTACAGAAACCTACTCTTGAAGGTTCAACAAGTCAAAAGTTTAAATTATTTAATGTATTACCCGTGGATTTACTATTTAAAAAAATGTCCATTTTATGGGTAGGTAAATATATAGATAATTGGAGAAATATAAATAATGAAAAAACAAAAAGGGAACATTTAGCATATGACGTTAAAGTGATGTATTTTAAAAAAGCTTTTGGTCAAAAATTCGTGGACTACCTGGGTCCTACTTATTTTAATTCTATGCCTGTTATTATTAAAAAGAATATAATCGATAAACATGAAAATGTTAAAATAACTATTAATAACTGGTTATTAATGAACTTAGAATAAGTTATTTATATGTTTACAAGTAGTTATCATGTACACCTTAGTATTTTATTTTTATTTTTATTTCATTATTATTCAATTATTATTTGTAAGTAAACTGTCGCTCTCTACCTGCAACACAAGCTTGCTTTTAGAACGTAGATAATCTCATTGTTAATTATGTAATACTTATTTTATGTAACAACAGTGGATTTACAATAAAAAAAAATATATTTGCGCATGTTTTGATAGTACGATAAATCTGGAAACATACACCATTATGGGCAGTATTTTTATGTGCATCATTACTACTAATATGTTATATTGCCTATTGAGAGTTATCGTATAAAGTTTATTGTATGTTTTGTAATTTTTCTTTTTGCACTGGACACCTATTGTTTGGACACTAAACCTCATTTTAATACTCACTTACTGTGATTCGCATCTAAGCGTTTATTTGAAAGTGATTCACTACACTTTCAGTTATGACAATTCGTGTAGACCTGTGACCTCCCCGTCCACACTATACCCCTACCCTACTGTTTTGGCTATTTTTTAATGTGTCTCGCAAGACATAATCATCAACGCCTATAAATTTTATTCCCCATACGTTCGGCCCAACAAAATGGCCAATATTTATCCCCCCCCGCCCTCACATATTAAGATACAAATATGCCAGGTTATTATTATTATAATACGAGTTATAATTCGTATTGTACTTGCATTTCCATACGTAGTTAAAAGAAGGAAAAATACCAATTGTAAAAACAATACCTATTTGGCTGCGCATAGAATTAAAGGTTTTTTTTTTTTTTAAAGTTAAAAAAGAAAAGTATGTCATGCACGTGTTTAAACAAATACGATGTCAATTTAAGAGTTGCTTCGAATGTTGTTGAGAGAAATGTATGTATATTATTGTTTTTTTTTTCTAATATTTGCTATAACCTATTTGGCGTTGGATTGTCCCATCATAACAGTTTTAAGAAATATATGTATTTTGCGTCAGTGTTCAGGCAAGCGATACGATGTCGAAACTGGTGTGTATATTGCAGTGGTCGATAGTAATAAATATTATTATCTATAGCTGTGGTCGGAGAACCCTTTGTTGTCCGAACAATGAAGAAACACATCCCGAATGGTACTTTTCCACGTTAACCTCGTACAATTATGTTTCTTCCAAGAGCATAAATATACCAGGTATGTTTCATTATTTTGAATTATTATTGCTTTTTTATTTTACCAACGATAACATTTAAAACTTTATACAGTTGATAAATACTAAGTATTATACGTCATAACCAATATGGGTTATTACCATAGATTAAATACATGTAGATAGGCCACGCCGTGTAAATTTTTGGCAACCCCATATTCATCACGAATGGACGCAGCGAAACGATACGTTGGACGCAGGCGATTATGTTGATAGATGGCGTTAGTGTCGCGCGTTTCTATTGGTTAAACTTTACGCGGCAATTTAAATTTTTTATGTTTTACTCCATTTATAACACTATGAACATTATTTAATTATATTCATATAATAATGTTATGTATGAAAATTCCATACATAATCATCATCGTGAAATACTAGAATTCTGATTTGGTCTACTTTTTTTAAACCTTTGATTAGTTTTGGTTAAGGATTTTTACTAATAACCTACCTAAAAATCTGGCAACACTAGTAAGCATACACGATAATATCGAAATTTAAGTTTTGCAAGGGTATATCGGCTTGAATTTTTTTCGATCAATTTCGCTATAAATTTAAATTTTAACATATTTGATCGGATTAAAGCGTGGGATCATCTCATACCTTCCAAAACCCAGTTCTGTCCATAGATTAAGTATATTATAATTTATGTATAGACAAAAACACTCGATTTTTGTAATTTTTTAAAACAACTTTAATACCCAAGATTAGTACCAAATACATTAAATACATTAAATTATAAATTGTCATAATTATAGATTAAAATTATTAATAGCATATCATGGAAATTACTCCCCTAAGTTATGTGATCTCGTGAACTTTAAATAAATCGCAGGACCTAGTGTGTTTATTAGGTACACATATTTTTGTGCATTGACAAAACTATAAGAAGTTTAGTCTACATGTGAAAAACCAATAATAATAATAGGGAATACATACCTTGTAGTTAGGGACATACTTAAAAGTGGGCAAAGACAGGATGTAATAAAGATATGAGGGTATAAATTATTACAAGTTATCGTTACCATTGATTTTTCATACCTATACATTTTATGTTGTTTATTTATGTTTTGATGTAAAATAGCTGAATACCTACCCAAAGATTCAATTCTTTTTTATAATCAGAATTCACAATTTCATTTCAGCTCTAGCCTCTATGCGTTGAACTCGTACATTAATTTTTGGTTTTCATTTTTTTTTTTTTTAATTATTTTAACAATTAATTATTATAATAATGAGCACATTAAGAGGAAATAAGTGTGTATTTTTTAATTGCAGGAAAAACAAAAGAGAATTACACCGTTTCCCGAAGGATGACCGTTCAAGGCAATTAAGTAGTTTTTGATTATTTTCATTTTAGAAAAACTTCTTTCCGCACCAGGTGACGTTATTGGAATTGAGAGTGTTATTCGGTATGCTATTAAAATATTTGGATAAGAACCGCAAATTTTTTTTAGTACTGAACAGTGGCGTACTTACGGGGGGGGGGGAGTTCGGGTTCAAACCTTCCAGAGCCAAAAAAAAATTGTAAATAAGTAATATATTATAGGTATTTATCGTATAATTGTTACAGTGCTACTCTCTGAAGTAATTTAGAACTTGAAGTAAATAAATATAATAAATAACAATTTAATAATTATATTTTAATTATTAAGTGTTTAGTGTTTTGTACAGTTTTTACTTTTAGCTTCGATGCAAAGCGGATAAGGTACTGGTTTTACTCTGATGTGTGTTTTTTTTTATCTGTATGCGCTGTAACTTTTTTAATACTGGACCAATTCCTTCGAGTAGCAACTCTATAAATCACAAATTTAATCTTGTTGGTCCTTAGGGGGGGGAGGGGGGTAAAAGTTTACTTGTTCACAGTAAAAATTTGAAAAACAAAAAAAAAAACCGTACGAGTTTTTAAGTTAAAACTTTTACTGGCTATAATTTCGAGAATAAGAGTCGGACCGAGTTGAAATTTATTAGGAATATTTATTTCGTTTGCCCGCACACGTAAGTTGGGTCAAACTTTAAATTAAATCCATTTCCCACCCCCCCCACCCTCCACTTTCGAGCAATAATAGTGCATAATATATATATATATATATAAATGACGACCTCTCATTATCCAATCACATTGTTGATCGATTAGAAAGATAAATTGTTTATTGAAAAAAAGGGGAAAACTTAATTCAGCTGCCAAAAATCACACCAATTTTAGTTTAATTAAAACAAACAATTTAAGAGCTTATCCTTTTCCCTAGAAAATCTAGTAAAACACCCAAAAACATGTACTCCCACAGTAACAGTTCCTGAAAACCTATGACCGTAGCTACATTTTAGTGTAATAATATTATACTGGCTTCTGTTAGTTTTTTCTTTTTTTAACGGTATAATAATATTCGTTTTGCAACAAATTATTACTAATTTTTTTTCTCTATTCATTTTCAATACACAGCTGCAACGATGGTGTTGTAGTTTAAATTAAATTTGCACACGTGTGAGTATGGCGCTATCTCAAGGCCAGGTAAAACCTAAATTTATATACGAATAATTACAATTATTTCTAGGGCCAAACTTACCCTGAAATTTTTGGTACAGTGTGATGTGGCTGTAGCTGTTGAAACAGCCGTTTTACTAAACAATTTATACCACAAGTTAGTGGGTAAAAAATAAAAATCACATCAGATAAATTATACTATTTTAGTATACGATTTAATATTGACTAAATTTTGATTTTAAATTTATAACTACACCGTTGAAATTCAATCTAAGTTCTGATAAAACGAAATGATAATGCAGCTACAATATTTGGGTTGCCCAAATTATGTATGTATTTTATAACCAGGTATAAGTATTGCTAGTCATGACAAAAAAATTTACAAAGAATATTCTGGTTCTTTTTTTTTTTTTATATTGATTGGTCCAAAATAAACCAAATAGTTTTTACTCGTAGAAAAAATGATTTAACCAATGAAAGTCAATACCTAGAAGCTTATGCAAATTAAATATACAAAGTAAAGTTTGTTGCCTATACAAAACGCCTTAAAAACAAACCTTGTGCAATCCCCAGTGCCGTTTCACAACGTTCATAGGTTATATTTGTGGCCAGCGAATGTTTGAAAATAATTACAAATGGCGATTTTTTACTAAGATTGTTGTTGCAATTTTGATATTAATTCACATAATATACTTATTCCTACAATTGTAATGGTAATTTTATCGATAGAACGGCATGGAAATGTATATATATATTATGCTTAAAAGCATATCATAGAACTTATGTAGACTTGCGTTAGAGTAATGTAAATGTGTTATCGGATTAAAGAAAACAGCTGTGTATATAAATCAACATTAAAATTCAGGTATACAATATGTTCTATTTCTGTCGTTATAAAAGCCCCCATCCAAATGTCGCAAGAAAATTAATTTCAATAAGTTTTAAACGCTGATTGAATATTTCCCTTGTAAAGTCTATCGTTTTGATCATTTGTTTTAAGTAAAGTAACATATTAGATACATCCAAGACCGTGAGTGCATTTTTTTTATGCAATTTGTTAAGTTTTACTAATTTATTATTTTAGCATCTCATTACAGTAACTATTTTTGCAGATAAAAATGAAACTTTTATGTATTTTAATATCATTTGCCTCGGTCAACGTTTTAGTAGCTTTAGGTGATTATTTCATTTTCGCAGTAGAAATCTATAAATAAATATTCAATATTAATTAATTTTTTTTGCAGATGCCTATGTAAAGCAGGTCATCTTGACAAGTCAGTAAACATTTTTTTTTTCACGCAAAACAATTTTCTCGGTCCTACTGTAATGATGTGTATATTTTTCTACAGACATACAGATGATTGATACAAAAGGTACTATATATATATAAATATATATTATTTAAATACTAAAATATAACTTGTTTGACATTATGTATTTATTGTGTGCAAATTACCAAAAAGTATAATTTAATTACAATTGACTTATAGTTCACCAAGTTAAATTCCACGTTAAATAAAATGGTAACCACATAAAGCATGGTTTCATTTAATTCTGAAGGCTTTTATATTAATTGAGATTATATTTAAACCTTATTTTTTTATGCCCAACCACAAGTAATGCTTAAGTACTTTCTAGCTAAACCCATTATTTGTTGTTTCTAGAAAAATTGCCAACAGTAATTCAAAACATGATTCTCCTTGGAGAATTTACAATGGGTAACAATCATAACTATATATATATAGTAAATAAAATAACAATGACGATAAAGCGTGCTTGTAGATGAAAATATTTAAAAAATTAAATGTAAAAATTGTAACAAATTTTCAATATGCTAATTTTTCAGTGATGTAATTGTGAAATTTTACTCTAAAATCTGAATGGAATCTTACTGGCGGAAATGTTGCTTCTTTAGAGCTCTTTTCATAAAACACTATATGTGTCTTCCACTTGACTTTGGTCTTATTATTTGTTTTAGAATAAATCTAATGTCATTAAAATATAATACATTTATTTTATTTTCAGTGGAATTGGCTCTAATGTTGGCAGTACCGGGTAATCATTTTCTTAACATAATATTATTGTGAATTATTTCCACACAATTGTTTTACATTCATCGGGTACAAATTGTTGTTATTTTAATTTCAGAAGCCAACGACAAAGACATAGCAGATTACATTGAGCAACGTAAATATTTAGTAGTCAACTATTGTACATGCATTATATTGAAAACAATCAATCTCTTACTACATATTGATGTCTATTTTAATAAATAATGTACATTCAAATTGATTTTGTTTAAAAATTCTAGAGAAGATAGACTACCAACTAATTGCGCAAGAGATAATATGGTTTACAACATGTAAATATAACACTGAAAACTTTTTTTATACAATTATCAAATTCGATAAATACCCCATCATTGCAGTTCAAGATGACCGTTATATATGATAAATAAAAAATACATTTTTTTTTTAACTCTATAACTATTTTATATTTTGGTTACAGCAATCCGTGCTGTGAAGGTAAACGAAGGTACCTAATCACAATTGTTTATGAATCAGTCAGAGGTGTGACTTGGTAAATTGCTAATCTACAAGTTCAACAGAAGAGGGGCAAATTATGAATTCAGTCTAAACCTGTACTAGTACATTGATATAATATATATATATGTATATTATAATCTGAATAACTGTATTGATTGTAAAATAGTTTTAAAAAAAAAACCATCAAGTGATTTCATATGTACAATAATATATTTCTATACAGATTTGGAACTTATTATTTTTTTATTTTTTAAGGTAATATAAGAAAAGCTGATCTAAATAATTTGGGAATTAGAAGAAGATCCATAACTTTGGAAGGTGTAAACAAATTAATCCGTGCTGTCTTGAGTAAATACTATTTTTATTATACAAAATCAACCACAAAGTATAATGGTAGAACTTCATATGCAACTTTATGTTTTTGATTTCAACTATTTTCCTTACACCCTATTTTACACTTGTATGTGTATCTTGCAAATGAAAAAAATATAGTATCGAATGAGTTTAAATTAAAAAAAAATTATATTTTTAGGCGGAGAAAATGAATATTTCAAAAATTTTGCCGAAGTGTGTCGTTTAATGGGAATATTCAGAAGTATTAAATACCCACAAACATATATCAAACATGCGGAAGTCCATCAAATTGGAGTTTGTTTACTAACAGATATAAAAGACAATGGTATCAAATACTCTATATTTGAAGACGACGTTTGGGAATTCAACGATAACGATACTGCAAAAGAGTTACTTTCCACTCAAGTACAATCATTTTTATTTGGGACAACCATTTTTTGAGTATTACTGTTATTCTTATATTTATTTGCATACACCTTCTATAATAACAATGTTGTCAACAAATTTAATGAATTTAAAAATAAAGAATTTTTATCAAAATTAAGAAAGCATGCAGTTTTTTTTTTAATGTGCAATACATTTATTTATCAATGTAATATAAAAAAGCACCTTATACATCTAAAGGTGTGGTAAATAAGTAGAAAAATAACGTGCACGTTTATTGTGTTTTAATAATTAAAAAAAAAAATAGTCATTAGAAATACATAACTACAACTGAAAGTGATTTTATTACAAACGATTCGCCCTGACGCGAATCTATAGGTGTCACTTGAGTAATTTTTAAATTCTGTTTTTAAATTATTATTTTTAAAAAACGTGTAAATTGTTTAATTTGTTAACATTTTCACTATCCTATAAAGCGTGTTTAACTTTTTTTTTCGATGAACTAAAATAACCTTCTTTTTTAGATAAGAGGTTTTTACATAGACAAACAAAAAAGTTCATAATCAAAAATATACCCTAATTTTAGCTTCGATTTGCATTTGCCTGTGATTCTATTATCGTTTCGATCGTGTTGGAATAATAATCTCCACCGTCGCAGTCAGTTGGCGAAAAAATCTAAACCGTCTGACAGAGAGTAATAATAACATTAGCTACGACCAGTAAAACTCTATGCCAGCTAATAACTATTATACTCTGTTTTTATCAAAACAATACCTACATTTCTAATACAACTCATAAAACATTACAGTGTAGTCGGGTATTTTTCCATTACAATATGTCAACAATATTTTGCAAATGCATTCATTGGACATTGTAGCATAATATATTATGCTGCATAATTACTAACAATCATCAAACATAATGCGTTTTGATACATAATACGTACCGTCGAAATGTATACATATGTTTTATTATAAATTGTTACTTTCCGGTGAAAATCTTTACAACCAGAAAACTTTGGCGTCGTCTTCGTGTAAAATATTGTAAATTAAGTTCAACATAATATAATATGGTGGTAGTATAAGCTTATTTATGCAACGCCTTTCAGATTGATGCCCGACATTTGCATATAGCACTTATCTTCCCTCCGTCTGATCTCTTTTGATTTAATTGACTATACGATAACCCGGTTTCCGCTTAAGCTTAGTTGTTGGTATTGAAAATTAAAAAAATGACATACTGAACCATCCGACTAGCTAGTATAAACATCGATTGCTGTTTAATTATACAAATTTCAAATTTTCAGAGCTTAAAGGCTGATTAAAGTCAGTGTAGGTACCAAAGTTAGTCCAAATATGTACGATTATTATATAACGCATACAATAACACGACCAAGGTTTGAAATTTCAATGAAGTATTTCACAAAAATAAATATTATTTGTTTTTCCTGTAGGTCAAAAGTTCTATGCGTCTAGTCAAAGTTGAAAACTTTCCTCTTTCTGAAAGAATTTCACATATAAAAATATATCTTGTAAATATTTAATCTGCGATTGACTTTTCTTAGAAAAATTCCTATTTAAGATAGCATATCTGATATTAGATAAACCAATCGCATATGAATATTATTGATTTTTTACGAGTAAATAGTTTGGCATGGGCTGTTGGTTGTTGAATCAAAATACAAATGTTGAACTACCCGCAACCACAGAGTTATACTCGGTTTACTTAGACGAATGGAAGTTTGCGCACTAAATACTATTAGAAAGAGTACAAAAAATAATAATATTAACTTGCATCATCGATGACAACAAAGTGCACGTGTATGATTGAATGAAAAGTGCAATTTTTCATTTGACAATTAACAGGATAATGACTTATAACGGTTTAGAGCCCAAAGACACGCGGAAAAATCTTTGTTTTATTTTTTATAAAATGTTTAAGCGTCGAAAGACGAGTTTTTGGTCATTCTTTTTTTTATATGATTACTTTTTTATGTTATTCGTAACACGAGTGTACCGTCTCAGTCCGGTGAAAAGTGCTGAGGTCATGTTCGACATTATCGAGGAGTGCGGTAAAATTAACCAAAAGAAAAAAATAATAAAGTAGATTTATTATGTCGTTTACTTAATATGTTATGTTTGCACAGCTATTCAGTGCACGGTACGGTGATAATTGTATTATGGTACTGTACTCCGGGGGGAGGATGAATATTATTTTTATTTTTCTGTTGTCATACAAAACAAAATAATCTACTGTTTGCCCCGGAGACACTTTGCGTTCAGATTCTGCTTGTATTTCTTACAATCGAATTATATATTAATGATGTTGCGATGCGGTTCATATGCCCAATATTATGGAGACAATATTACATTTATTGTAAAATTATTACAATCCGATAAATGATCAATATAATATGATACAATCGTGTTCGTACTTGACTCAATTATCGTACTTGACAATACAATGTATTGTCTTCCAGAAAATATGAGTACGGCTTTCTCGATCGAAAAGTCTCGGAAATAAAAAAATGCACACCAAAAACAACGAACAACAATTTGTATTCCTTTTGGTTTTTTACTAAGAAAGTCTTCAATTACAAATATTACTAGCCAGAACAATAATTATACCGTAACTTTTTACTACGTTAGTTCATCATCATTAAGTTTACACGTGCGATTCGAATCGATAGATCCGTGTTGATTAATTTTTGAAGCAAAACAACACATGCGAATGGTTCTTCGTACCGAGGGAGGCAGAAAGTAATACATTGGTCGCCGAATTGAGGAAGTCTTCCCTGTCGGCTCGCAGGCGATTCCAGAGGGGCCAGGAGAAGATCCAACGCCGATGCTTGCCTTCAGCTCGAGCCCGATATGAAGCCAGCTCACCGTGGCAGGAACGAGGCCGCGTTCCGGTAAAGTCCTTGGCCCTGATTTCATTATGAATGAAGTGCTCAAGGCGGTAGTAGAAAACCCTGAGAAATTAAAAAAACTAATTACGGTGGTCCGGATGTGGTGTCCTTCTGCTGTTCAGGAAGTGGGGTCTTGCCGAGGCCGTGGAAACAAACGACCGGTGGGATTTCTCGACATCGACGACGCGACAGTTGTTGGACTTGCAGAGACCACTGAAACCTTGGAGATCATCTCTCCATCCAGCCCTTGAGAAGATTGCCAAGTGGTACTGCTGCGCAAAGAAGTGAGCTACAACAAATGTAATCGAAGCGTATTGTATCACCGATTCTTCGATAGGGTTTCAAGCTAATTTAATTACCATATGCGATAACGAACGTGTCCGTGGCTGTTAACAGTAATACCTAATAATCTTGTACGTCGAGTGTTACTGAGAAAAACTGAAAATCTTTCAAAATCGATTAAACATAACTATTAAATGGCATATTTCATATAAGCATTTCAGAGACTCATAAGTGCCTGGATAGACTTCTGTAACGGACCTACTGAACGGTGAAGAGCTAGCCACGGATAGAGACAGATGGAAGGAAGTGGTGGTTGCGGCGAACGACCTGAATGGTCTATATTAAGCGCGCAAAAAAAAAACCCGCCGCATCTAAAACTAAATACGAATATTTTTATATGGAATATTTTGCATAATATATACAGAGTGAGTGTATGAAACATTCAGGATGTTTTAAGAGTACAAAAAAAAGGTTATTCAATTTTTTTTTATTAATTAAAATTTTTTTTAAATTGAACTCGTATCTCATAAAAAAAAATTGTTTATTTAACGAAAAAAATAATTTCAGATTTGTAATGAGGAGAATATTTTTGTTGAATTGATGTGTTACGTGATTTTTTATTATCTGGCCACACATACGTCATCGAGTGACCACCGAGTGGCCGGCATGTGACCAAAACTAACATATGGCATGTAACACATCATTTTGGGCTAGAATTTCATTCTCAACCCAGCGTTGTACTTAGAATTATTTTATAGTAGATGATCTAGAAAAAACTTAAGCCCTTATGGTTATATGTAATAAAATAATAATAAAAACACTTAACCATAAAAATGATATACATACTCTCCGGAGAACGCATAGAACCTGTGGGCCCGAAATAAAACGATAAGGACGGAGATCGGGGGGCCAAACAGTGCATGAGATTACAATATGAGCTAAAAAAACTAGCTGGAGGTTTATTATTATTTTATTGCATATAACCATAAGTTTTTTCTAGACCATTTACTGTAAAATAATTCTAAGTACACCACTGAGTTGAGAATGAAATTCTAGCCCAAAATGATGTGCTACATGCCGTATGTTAGTTTTGGTCACATGACCACCTGTGGACGTGTGTGTGGCCAGATAAGAAAAAATCATGTAACATATGAATTCAACAAAAATTGTCTCCTGATTACAAATCTGAAATTATTTTTTTCGTTAAATAAACAATTTTTTTAATGAGATTACGAGTTCAATTAAAAAAAAAAAAATTGAATAACTTTTTTTTGTACTCTTAAAGCATCCCGAATGCCTCGTACACAGAGTGTAATGTAAAGTAGAACCTTACATTTAGTAGGTTACTACTACCTAAGCTTCGAGTATAGTGTATAAATCTTTTTGAGCCTTCATAAGCTCTGTTCTTTTGATTTTCACAATTCCTTCGAACACTTTCATGGTGTGCGGTTGCTCCTCCAGTATAGGCCCAAATATTTGCATGGCCTCGTCTTGTACCTCATTATTAGGGTATGCATATATCGTGGACAGAGCGTCCGTGAATTTAATACTTACTTCAATGTCTTTTGTATGAAGCTGTTGGGCTAGCGAAAAAGCCGTAGCCAACAATTGTCTTTGCTCGGCTAAAAAGCTCGTCCGGATCGATTGTTTCTTCGCGTCTCGACGTTTTTCTCTTAGGTGTTTCTTGAAATCTGGGTGATTCCTTCTGGTATGGTCGAAGTATATACAGTAGCCCACCGCGCACATCACGGGCACCGCTACCAACAGGCATGAACTTAGAACTTTGTTGAACATTGTGCGTGTAAAATAAAGTTTTTACTAAAGAAAACAAAAAAAGTAAGATTTCTACGTTTCTTAAGAAATACCGAAAGTGCTATGAAGTGTTAGTTGTATACAGCGTTGACTAGCGACCGTCCCGGTT